AACTGTCCATCCCAAAATCTGAAAGATCTTGTCCTTTATGTAATTCTTCAGTAGAAGATGAACTACATTTTACCCTTGACTGTCCATTTTATGAAGATTTACGTTACATGTATATCCCAGAACGTTATCTGTCGGAACCACCACTGATAGCTTTTACCAGTTTATTAACAACTAATAATGAATCCGCCCTACGCAATCTAGCTCTCTATGTTAAATATGCATTTATTCGTCGTAACGAGCACTTACAGTTAACCATGTCCTAATGTATGTAACTCGCTTGTATAAGGGCCGGTGGCCTAAAATACAATAAACGATTGTCTTGTCTTGTCTTGTACAGCTTCTGAAGATAATTCGAGAGTATACGGGTGCAAGGTTTCGAGAGCAGAAGTGAAGTGTTCATATCAAGGAATGTTTGAGGTGCATCTAGCTGTAGAGCTCTGAATGTGCTGTAACTTGGCGAGGACTTTAATTGTAAGATTTACTCAAAGAATATTGCAATATTCAAACGTGGAAGACACAAAGCAGTGCATCAACAATTTAGCTGTTAAAGTATCCAGGAAACGGCGAATTTGGTTGATGTTTAATATTATATGAAAACATGCCCGACCTGTGAGGGAGACGTGATTGTCCATAGACATTGCTGAATCAAATTGACGTCAAGATTACGAACTCTGGCTGTTGAGGAAACAGCAGTTTTGCCAGTCCGAAGACAAAAGGACCCATGATTAAGAGTTCTTAGTTGTTGCCTGGACCCGGGAATAAAACTATGTCTTCTCGTCATTCAGTTTGAGGAAATTCAGACCCATCCAGTGCCGTATGTCATCAATGCACTGCTCGAGGCTTGTGATGTTGATAGAGAGTTCTGCAATTTTATCATCAGCATAGAGGTGGAATTTCAAAGAATGTTTCTTGATAACATCTCCGATGGGCAGAATGTATAAAGTAAATAGAAGTGTTTCGAGAACAGAACCCTCAGGCTCTGTCAGATTGTTCATCTATATCTCTAACGAACATGGTATCGTCAGAGAGATGGGGATGGATAAACTGAAGGGCTGTGCCACAGATACAAACACGTTCCCTGAGTCTGTCTAGCAATAGCGTATGGTCAATAGTGTCAACAGCAGACGACAGATCGAGGAGCACAAGAAGCGTAGCTTCCAGTTTCAATGGTCATTTAATAAACTTTCAGGGCAAAAGGGGCGATGCGCACCCCTGCACCCCCTTCTGGATCCGCCTCTGGATCCTTCTCTGGATCCTTCTCTGGATCCGCCTATGTTGAGGGATACTGTTGTTGTAAATGTTGCTCTAACTACGAAGCTGTTATCCTCTAAAAACACTTTGACACAAACGAAAGATTAGACACAGGGCAATGTCTGTTTAGGTTGCCTGGATCCAAACCCAGTTGTAATGGAGTTCACCTGGAAACTATCCAGATGAGATAGAAGCGGCCCAAACAGCAGGTGTTATATGATCTGGGTAAAGGAGCGACGTAAGAAGGAGAATTCTTGATAGTATCAGAGAAATGTTTCATTCGGAATGTTTCTAATTTTCAGTATTTTCTCCTTGAAGTAAAGATCCAAATTCATGAGCCAGTGAAATAGAATTATCCCTTCCTAGCAACATTTAAAAGTGAAGCTAGATTCGTCTGTTCCTCTCTTTTAACATAATATTGTCTAAAATTAACATTTGTGTCGCATATGTTAGAGCACAATTAAGATAATTTCAAGCTTTTGAAGATCTGGTGGTGGACTTCAAGCTTGCTTTTTTTCAGCAGTTCCTGGCTGATCCAAATTCATTTGCCAGTGAAATCGAATTATCTCCTTGAGAATGTTCTCTTCTTGGGTCCCCTTTCACCTGATATTTACAAAGTGAAAAGAGTTCTCCCGCTTCTTTTGCTTAGTGTTGTCTAAAATGTACTTTTGTGTGGCACTTCTTAGAGCAAAATCAACAGAAGTTCTACCTTCTTTAAGGCTGGCTTTAGACTGCTGCTTATTCTTTCTAATATTGACATTATCACAGTCTGTACTGGGGCGCAACATAACAGTCTACTTTCTAATATTGACATTATCACAGTCTGTACTGGGGCGCAACATAACAGTCTACTTTCTAATATTGACATTATCACAGTCTGTACAGGGGCGCAACATAACAGTCTACTTTCTAATATTGTCATTATCACAGTTTGTACTGGGGCGCAACATAACAGTCTACTTTCTAATATTGTCATTATCACAATCTGTACTGGGGCGCAACATAACAGTCTACTTTCTAATATTGACATTATCACAGTCTGTACTGGGGCGCAACATAACAGTCTACTTTCTACTATTGACATTATCACAGTCTGTACTGGGGCGCAACATAACAGTCTACTTTCTAATATTGACATTATCACAGTCTGTACTGGGGCGCAACATAACAGTCTACTTTCTTATATTGACATTATCACAGTCTGTACTGGGGCGCAACATAACAGTCTACTTTCTAATATTGTCATTATCACAGTTTGTACTGGGGCGCAACATAACAGTCTACTTTCTAATATTGACATTATCACAGTTTGTACTGGGGCGCAACATAACAGTCTACTTTCTTATATTGTCATTATCACAGTCTGTACAGGGGCGCAACATAACAGTCTACTTTCTAATATTGTCATTATCACAGTTTGTACTGGGGCGCAACATAACAGTCTACTTTCTAATATTGTCATTATCACAGTCTGTACTGGGGCGCAACATAACAGTCTACTTTCTAATATTGACATTATCACAGTCTGTACTGGGGCGCAACATAACAGTCTACTTTCTAATATTGACATTATCACAGTTTGTACTGGGGCGCAACATAACAGTCTACTTTCTAATATTGACATTATCACAGTCTGTACTGGGGCGCAACATAACAGTCTACTTTCTAATATTGACATTATCACAGTCTGTACTGGGGCGCAACATAACAGTCTACTTTCTACTATTGACATTATCACAGTTTGTACTGGGGCGCAACATAACAGTCTACTTTCTAATATTGACATTATCACAGTCTGTACTGGGGCGCAACATAACAGTCCACTTTCTAATATTGACATTATCACAGTCTGTACTGGGGCGCAACATAACAGTCTACTTTCTACTATTGTCATTTATCACAGTCTGTACAGTTTGTACTGGGGGCGCAACATAACAGTCTACTTTCTAATATTGTCATTATCACAGTTTGTACTGGGGCGCAACATAACAGTCTACTTTCTAATATTGTCATTATCACAGTTTGTACTGGGGCGCAACATAACAGTCTACTTTCTAATATTGTCATTATCACAGTCTGTACTGGGGCGCAACATAACAGTCTACTTTCTAATATTGACATTATCACAGTTTGTACTGGGGCGCAACATAACAGTCTACTTTCTAATATTGACATTATCACAGTTTGTACTGGGGCGCAACATAACAGTCTACTTTCTAATATTGACATTATCACAGTTTGTACTGGGGCGCAACATAACAGTCTACTTTCTACTATTGTCATTATCACAGTTTGTACTGGGGCGCAACATAACAGTCTACTTTCTAATATTGACATTATCACAGTTTGTACCGGGGCGCAACATAACAGTCTACTTTCTACTATTGTCATTATCACAGTTTGTACCGGGGCGCAACATAACAGTCTACTTTCTACTATTGTCATTATCACAGTCTGTACTGGGGCGCAACATAACAGTCTACTTTCTCGGTGGTGCATGATCATCCAAAAGCTGACTGGAATCTGTTTGAAAATAGCAAGCTTAAAACATCACCCGCCTGACAGACCTGAGTTATAACTCTAGATCATGCACAATGATCTTTCTGTAAATAAATTATTTCCAAAGGTTCAGGTTTTAGCGTTTGGTAAATGACATCAGCAAAATAAGTATCTGAGATCTGATTGTCAGTCACTTCTCTCACTGTTAAGATATTATCCTGGTCTCTAGTTATCACTAAGCCTAAAGTGTGACCACGCCTATGGTTGGCGCCAGATACACGCCAATGGTTGGCGCCAGATACACGCCAATGGTTGGCGCCAGATACACGCCAATGCAGATCGGTAGAAGTGGGTAGCTGTGAAAACTGTTGAGAAAACGTTTCTTCTGGGATGTCGCCATCAGTGTCAACCACTGATAAGGAGGCGTTGGTGGTCAGCTGTAGCGGTTTCAAGTGAATCCGAGAATGTAGTATTAAATACGACATTTTGAAGCTTTTACAGTGATTGGTAGTTTTTATATGACAGCCAAACCACCACTTCGTCAAGTCAGTCTATTCTCAGTGACTGTATCTGCACTTGGTGACACGTGACAATTCTAAAAGTGTGACACGTGCGATTCATACAGAGGTAAAGAAACATCCATGGCATCCTGGCCCAGATGTCAGATAATGAGCCAATTTACAGAGGGATCAGTATTAACCCATGGTATCCTGGCCAGATATCAGATAATGAGCCAAGTTACAGAGTGATCAGTTATAATCCATGGCATGATAAAAGTCAATCAGTATATCAATGATGATGGTCACCTGATTTTATTAAGTCCGCTGTATATACCCCACACATGAGGCACCGTGGTCATTTCGTGCCGTGCAATAAACGAGGTAGAATTATCTTAATTTGTACTACACTCAAGGTAAGGCTGATAATGGAAGGGAAGAATGTTCAAAACAATCTGAAATATTTGGAAAAGCACAGATGGCCAATCTAAGGTCGACATAAAGTTGATAATAGCAGTCATAACACAGACAAGACACACCCAGTTCTATATAAATACCGAACAGGACAATAACTGCTCAGTGAAGATTTCAGGCACACAATGAGACAGCACAATGAGATGCTTGATACTTAACTTGTTATTCCTTGGAATAGTCCTCGCAAAGAAGAATGTTTTATTTTTGGTCTCGGACGATTTGAGACCCAATCTTGGTGCCTACCTTGGACCAGATTTTCCGTCTCCTGTTCACCCAAAGATGCACACACCAAACATTGATGCGCTTGCTGCCAGATCTCTCCTCCTCAAGCGAGCTTACGTCTCAGTGGCTGTATGCAGTCCAAGCAGGACGGCCCTCCTCACCAGCAGACGCCCTGACACAAGCCACATCTGGAGCATTGGTCCTTACTTCCGGCAGTATGGAGGAAATTTCACTACATTGCCACAGTATTTCAAACAAAATGGTTATAGGACCATCGGAATGGGGAAAGTATTTCATCCAGGATCATCCTCCGGAGGTGACGATCCCGTTTCGTGGACAGATCCCTACACCCATGCTGATGATGATTACAAACATAACGATCTTCTTATGGAAGCGGTCTCAGAGGAAAGAGAAAAGGCAAACCCACTTCAGGATCAGATTCTGGCTGCGTCTGCCATTCAGGCACTAAAGGAAGTGGCTCCTGCAGCTAAGTCAGATGAGCGACCTTTCTTTCTGGCTGTAGGGTTCCGTAAACCTCATATACCTGGAACTTCCCCGCCCGATTCATGGATTACTATCCACTGGAAAGTCTCAGGCTACCACCGAATTACTATGCTCCAGTAGGAATGCCTGCAATTGCATGGCATAATTTCAGCGGTTTTGCTAATTTTAAAGACATGCAAACCTACCACTTGACAAACGTGGGCATCATTAACTACACATTTCCAGAAACTCTTACTCTTAAGATGCGACAAGCTTATTACAGCTGTATAAGCTACATGGATCACGAACTTGGAAGAGTCATTGACGAGTTGGATAACTTGGGCTTGACTAATGATACAATTATAGCCTTCTGGGGGGACCATGGATGGCAGTTGGGGGAACATTCTGAATGGGCAAAGCAGACAAACTTTGAAGATGCCACCCATGCTCCTATGATGATCCATGTTCCCGGAGTTACTGATCATGGCGTTGTCATTGAGAAACTAACGGAATTTGTTGACCTCTACCCAACACTCGTTGAGGCTGCAGGACTACCAAAACTTCAAGTGTGTCCACCAAACTCCCAGAATGTCAGTCTTTGCACGGAGGGTACAAGCATGGTGCCACTTATGACAAACCCGACACTGGATTCGTGGAAAACTGCAGCATTTTCTCAGTATCCCAGGTTGGGAAACGCACTTGAAGAAGACATTGTGATGGGCTACAGCATGAGGACTGACATGTATCGATACACGGAGTGGATCAACTTCAAGGGAAGGCCTATCTATCAACCATTGTGGGACCAGCTGAAGGGAGTGGAACTCTATGATCACACCAAAGACCCACAGGAGAACTGGAACCGAGCTTTTGATCCATCCTACAAAGACATCAGGGTCGAGTTGTCTAGGAAACTGAAGACGGGCTGGAGAGGAGCTCTACCTAAACGACGCCCCTGAAGTCGTCAACACCAAGTATGAGAACATTTACTCTTCTTGAGATAAAATTTAATAGTATTATTATGCAACATAATAAATTTGTTCTTTCTGTTTCCATTTACAGGTTAGTGTGAATTGATAGCAATGTCACCGAAAAGTAGTTGAAAATGTAAGACAAGTTCTGCTGCAGAGGACTTGGTGATACTAAACTTGGTTGTTTGACTTTCATTCCCAAAATTTATTACACTTGAAGCATTGTATCCCAATGAAAAACACGGCCTCATAACAGCATGCTCAGGTCGTACAATGGGTGGAGCTAACGGTCAAAGACACGGGCATGATGAAGACGGTAACAGAAACAACGAGCCATGCCATCGTGTCTTTTACCATATGCTGTACGCAAAGGAAGTCTATCTGCCGACAAGGTGTTGAACAATCTCAGCAAATTCATTCATGTTAACATTCTTTTCAAGAATTACATTTTGTGGATTGCGATTGACAGGTTACTGGTGGATGCTCCATCTGTGCCAACAATGTTGGACCAATTGTGATCCAAGAAATCTGTAGGGAAGGATTTTCAGTTTAATAGTCAAAATGCCTCATGTTATGAATATTGAAACAACATGAACGTTCTGAGTTCCCATTTACGTCATGGTACAGTCAGGATGTAAATTCAGATGAGAGATTTAGGACTTGAAACCTCTCCACTGCAGACTAACAACCATGTTTAGAAGTGGATTCGAAAGAAAGATTTTATTCATTCGCACTATACCACACATTTAAAAGTTAACAAATTTAATACACTGTCATTTTCGTCAGATACAAAACTCGTGAACTTAATATGTCAACTTTTACCTCAGCTAGATACCATAGAAAGTTAACTAGCGGGACAGCTAACGATAATGAGAGCGTCGTGTTCCCTATGGAAGACATTACGACTTTACCCACTCTCCAGCACAGAGACTCAGGGCTTTATGTCATCTCCACTTCATTACAAAACAAATACCAAAGTCAGTAAGTAAAACCACCTTGGCATTGCTGATGTTTGAAACTGGAGTCACGAATACAGTGGCTGACATTGTTAAAAGTGGACGAAACCTTGGAGATACGCTTGCTGACTTATCTCGAACAACAACATGTCAAGCTGGCAAATTTAGACATTTGCTGAGCAGGCATCCAGGAGTACCAAAAGGTCAAAACAGACGCTCTGATTTCTGACTCCCACGTTTCTGACATTCCTAAGAAATCTGGGATCACGGCATCTTTCCACTCCAGCCACTTCTGTCACAGAAACACGCTTTAAAGGTGCAATACACACAACTCAATGAATTCTAATTCCATGACATTGATGCCACGCTAGTTAATCCTAAATACTGCATTGTAATATTATGCCTTAAACACAACTATAACTGTGTATACAAGTTGGTGATTATAATATCTGCATGGAATGGTCGAAGATCAGGTGACCCTTGAACATATTCTGTTGAGGAGTTAGAGCCAACGATGATATGGAGTCAGTAGAATGTCGTAATACAGATGACTGACTGACTGAGTTTAGTTTTACGCCGCTTTTTAGCACTATTCCAGCAATATCACGGCGGGGGACACCAGAAATGGGCTTAACACACTGTGCCCATGTGGGGAATCGAACCTGGGTCTTCGGCGTGACGAGCCAACGCTTTAACCACTAGACTACCCCACCGCACCGTAATACAGATGAAGGGGGTAATAGGACTGATATGAAGAACATAGAAACATGGTTTCTTGCTTTGTCACATACACGGAGCACGCACATACGTTTGTATACATTATTATTTTATTAAGTTATGCAGCCTTCCTTGAAACTTTAAATGAATACTACTTGTGTAGAATCATCGTTGGCAGAATCATCTATATGTGTGCCAGCAGAGAACCTAAAACACTATCACCAGCGCAATGTAATGGGGTAAAAAATACATTTACAATCTGAAGAATTTTGAAACCTCCAGCTGGCCATTAGTAGGTCGACATGCAACTGATAATAGCAGGTATAAAGTTGCATAACAAGTACAGATAAGCACACCTAGTTCTAATTAGATAGAAGGCACCACATAAATACGGATTTTTCCACGCTGAAACTTCAGTAAAGATTTGAGCTGGTGTTCTGTTGATGAATCATGAGACATTTACTGAGAATTGCTATCTTAAACTTGTTATTCCTTGGAATAGTCCTCGCAAAGAAGAATGTTTTGTTTTTGGTCTCGGACGATTTGAGACCCAATCTTGGAGCCTACCTTGGACCAGATTTTCCGTCTCCTATTCACCCAAAGATGCACACACCAAACATTGATGCGCTTGCTGCCAGATCTCTCCTCCTCAAGCGAGCTTACGTCTCAGTGGCTGTATGCAGTCCAAGCAGGACGGCCCTCCTCACCAGCAGACGCCCTGACACAAGCCACATCTGGAGCATTGGTCCTTACTTCCGGCAGTATGGAGGAAATTTCACTACATTGCCACAGTATTTCAAACAAAATGGTTATAGGACCATCGGAATGGGGAAAGTATTTCATCCAGGATCATCCTCCGGAGGTGACGATCCCGTTTCGTGGACAGATCCCTACACCCATGCTGATGATGATTACATAAATAACGATCTTCTTATGGAAGCGGTCTCAGAGGAAAGAGAAAAGGCAAACCCACTTCAGGATCAGGTTCTGGCTGCGTCTGCCATTCAGGCACTAAAGGAAGTGGCCCCTGCAGCTAAGTCAGATGAGCGACCTTTCTTTCTGGCTGTAGGGTTCCGTAAACCTCATATTACCTGGAACTTCCCCGCCCGATTCATGGATTACTATCCACTGGAAAGGCTCAGGCTACCACCGAATTACTATGCTCCAGTAGGAATGCCTGCAATTGCATGGCATAATTTCAGTAATTTGGCCCACTTTAAAGACATGCAAACCTACCACTTGACAAACGTGGGCATCATTAACTACACATTTCCAGACACTCTTACTCTTAAGATGCGACAAGCCTATTACAGCTGTATAAGCTACATGGATCACGAACTTGGAAGAGTCATTGACGAGTTGGATAACTTGGGCTTGACTAATGATACAATTATAGCCTTCTGGGGGGACCATGGATGGCAGTTGGGGGAACATGCTGAATGGGCGAAGGAGACAAACTTTGAAGATGCCACCCATGCTCCTATGATGATCCATGTTCCCGGAGTTACTGATCATGGCGTTGTCACTGAGAAACTAACGGAATTTGTTGACCTCTACCCAACACTCGTTGAGGCTGCAGGACTACCAAAACTTCAGGTGTGTCCACCAGACTCCCAGAATGTCAGTCTTTGCACGGAGGGTACAAGCATGGTGCCACTTATGACAAACCCGACACTGGATTCGTGGAAAACTGCAGCATTTTCTCAGTATCCCAGGTTGGGCAACGCACTTGAAGAAGACATTGTGATGGGCTACAGCATGAGGACTGACATGTATCGATACACGGAATGGATCAACTTCAAGGGAAGGCCTATCTATCAACCAATGTGGGACCAGCTGAAGGGAGTGGAACTCTATGATCACACCAAAGACCCACAGGAGAACTGGAACCGAGCTTTTGATCCATCCTACAAAGACATCAGGGTCCAGTTGTCTAGGAAACTGAAGACGGGCTGGAGAGGAGCTCTACCTAAACGACGCTCCTGAAGTCGTCAACATCTTCTGTGATAACATTTACTCTAGATAATTTCCTGTGATAAATAACCTTATTTCACCACACATGTCTGTAGTTTGTGTTTACAATTACAGTTCCGTGTGAATGGACATCGATGTATTTGAAATAGATGTAGTGCCAATTAAAAGATTGCTCAAAGGAAGATTTCAGAAAGAAGAACAATTCTTCCACTGAAGTCCTAATTCTTTGTGTATAATGAAGACGATACAACACCGCGGGTATCATCTGGTTGGTAGATGGGCATCGATCTGACTGAATACATGTTTGAAGTCAAACAATAATTCCCATTGTAGACAATTACATGTTCTGTTCTTGCTAAAGAGTACAAAACATAATTGCGTGATGATTGCTCTACTGAGGTTAGAAACATATATATGTTCTTGTTTATTGCACAGTGCGGCGTTTCCTTATAGATTCTGACACTTTTATCAAGCCAAGCGCCGAATGTTTTAACAAATGGTATCAGTGAGAACGTCCAGCATCTCAATAGATTTTGGATGACATTTGCTTTCGGCTTTGATAAAACCTCCTGAACCTGCCGTATATAAGATAGAGAGAGGGTCACCATATTTCGTGACGAGAGCCCAGGCGTAAAGGAATCAATGTTACTATGTGTGTCATGGGTGATAGTTGTGTACAAATAGCAAACGTTTTGACAAAATGGAACTTGGCTCTTTTCTGAGATTGCAAACAATCCAAGAAAATCCTTTGAGTTTCTGAAAAGACACATAGCATCGACTCCACCTATCTCCAATACATCAATCAATCCCCAGTATATCGAACACCTGTCCTATATTTATCGAAACCAGAACGTTCTGCCATGGCCACTTTACTGCATCTACTGTGGAGAAAGTTCATTAAAGGCGCTGAAGTAATCTAACACTTCACGTACAATGATAAAACTGTTTTCAGAAAAACCCACGCCTTGTCATATTAATACCTCGACACATTTAAGTGAGCTAGTGTTCCTTCAGTTTCAAGGATGAACAAAGCGCGACAATGACTGACAATTCACCAGTACACAATGTTCCACTCAGCAGCGTGGGTGCTAATTCCCTCTCACATTCCACGTCATGAAGATTGTCATGGTAGCTTGGTGTAGTCAAAATGCATATGTTTGGTGGTCTTGTGATGCCACTGTTTTGTTGTCCTAGTCATAGTGGGGGAAGGCAGGGTAGCCTAGTGGTTAAAGCGTCTGTTCGTCACACTGAAGACCCGGGTTCAATTCCCCACATGGGTACAATGTATGAAGCCCATTTCTGGTGTCCCCTGCCTTGATATTCCTGGAATATTGCTAAAAGCGGCGTAAAACTTTACTCACCTACTCAGTGGTGGTGTGTGAAACTAACGCTGCGGATAATGCATGATCTTGTCTCTTAGGATCTTTACAAACAAGTGAAAAAAGCAAGGACACATTTAAGTAAGATTCTTCAGCAGAATCTGATTTAGCCGAATTTAACAATAAAACCTCTGTCAGGTCTAAATGCACCAGTCACAGCTCCCTCGAACGACCGGCAGCTGTTACATAATGGAATGAAAACCATAACCTGATATCTGGTGCAAGGGGAAACTACAAGATGTTCAAGCAGCAGCTGCGTGCGTGACGAGCATCTCGGAGACATAGTTGTAAGATGACAGGAAGCTCATTATTCAAACTTGGAAAGCGAAAGGAAATCTAAACTATTTACACAGAAATTACATTTGTATGTTGGACAGTAGCTGCAATCAGAATGCTGCCTTCACAAATATTGAACTTCCAACAGTATCGGTAACACATCCACATTGAAACAACAGCAGTTTTAGTCACGATATGGCTGAAATCACAAGGGTTTGAACAATAATTTTAAAAAAATACAAATCTACATTTTTGACACCGTATATTGTTTTTATATGTTATGAGTAACTTATATTTCACATTTGAACGAAATCGGTGAAGAAATAGATTTTTTAGAAAATTATCCCGCTCCACTTACATAAAATACACAAAGGGTAACACTCGCGATCCTAAAGGCCTGATCGAAAACCGGACAGCCAGACTATTTTAACGTGCGTTCAATCAAACCTTACGTTTTTCTCAAAACAATGTGTTGAGCTTGTAGATTATCCTTTTGGCCTTCTGCACGTCGTATTCAGGTTGTCTAACTGCATTTCATATTTCAACACTGACCCTCGCATTAGCACTACCCTCCGTTTTGAACAAACGTCTGGCCGCCCTTCGGTAAACATCGATACTGTCCGAAAATCTCGGAATGACTCGGATCACAAAACGACTCTCATTGGTCAATTTCCACGTGTGCGATTATTGCGAAATATTGTTTTGACAGTTGATACGTTTGTAAACCTCGAACATGATTTTAGAAATTCTTTCATGGTGAATAAAATTATTTTAGGTGCTAAATGCAATAAAATAGTGCACATAGTGCATACAGCATGAAAATATAACAGCTATAAATATATATCAAGCATGCAAAGCGGAAAATATTTAATTTCTGTAAATACAAGGATTGTTTTTACATTATAAATGTGATAGGTCAACAACATTTTCAGTTATATCCAATGACTTCCAATTATCAATTCATTGTGATTGTTGATTTAATATTCAATATTTCATAAAGTTTCCACAGTATAATACAACACACACAAACAGTTCACTTTTGAAATATAACTTTTGAAATATGATGATAATAAACACACATACTTTAAATCACATCTTAACAATCTCTTGAAAAAGATAATATCCTAGCTATGAAAATTGACTTTAAGAATAATTATGTTGGCAATGTATGATCATTTAATTTTTCCCTTGATAGTACAATTTCTAAAATTTGAAAAACTCATATAGAAATACTTGTGACTCAAGTTAAGTCAGTGACCTCAAGCAAAATCAACAAAGAAACCATTAAATATCAATTCTAAATCTCATCTAGCGAGTCGGTCATATATGAATTAAATTTCAACTTCTTAATCATTCCTGTATTACCTTACCCCATTAGTGACACGTGCACATACCTGACTGTTGGTGAATCTGCAAACAAACAAAAATATTCTGAGCTTTATCCAATCTTATAAATACTTTTGTTGGTACTAATATAAGAAACTACTGCCCTCCAAACTTCTAACCCCTTACCAGGGAATGATAGTGGATATCAAGTTACATTTTTATCTATCAAATAGTTTTCCTTACCCAATTATATTTGTTCCTATTTGTTCCTGAATAAACCATATGGATGGTCTCAAATTAAATAAAACAATCAACAACGGGGGCCCAGATTCTGAGGCTGTTGCTCTAATGAAATGTTCCGGCATATGGCAGAATCTTTGTCAAGGTAATTGTTGGGCCTCGGGCGTGAGAACATATTACAGATGTTACAAGAAAGGATGCAAAGACCAACAGCTGCCTGCTGAAACATCACACCCGTTTGTGGCTGCGTCAAGATATCGATCCCTGGATCTGGTGGCTCTATTCGTATGTATCACAAGTTACACCTTGGGCACATTCAATCAAAAGCAAGAATGCCTACAAGGAGGGATAAAGGAGTACACATATACTCGTTGTGTTCCTTGTGATAAAGAAGGAGGCCTCCATAAATATCTCCCCTTATGTGTATCACTTCTACATGCCATTCAAACACAACAATACCTACGTATTAAGTTTACCGAGAAATCTGAAGCCAAAAGAATCGGAAACATGCTATTCACTAGACAATCGTATGATACGATTATATCGCTCTCATGTCAACACACGTTCATGTCCCTTGTCAGCATGACAAGTAGTATTATGTATGTTTTATGTCATGCTTGAGGTGTGATGGGTATTGAGTGATTTGAAAGGTGACAGTTCGCAAGCTAGGGCAGTAATGGAAGCAGTGAGACGAGTGGTATTAGAGGCCATCGGATGTATCTGGGAAGTACGCTTGGGTTGATTCAAGTCGAGATCGAGAGAGTGTGTGTGTGTGTGTGTGAAAGGTGACAGTTCGCATCCAGTTGGAGAGTGTATGTGCGTCTCAGGTTGGCTGGTTTTCCTGTACATTCGACTGGTGTATTATGATTTTTATGTTATGTTTTAGTTAGAACACGTCAATGACTTATTTATATATGTGAATTATATGAAATCTTTTGTGATGCCAATAAGGTAGTGTACTGGCGTGATGATAATCAGTCAGCAGGTCCCGTGTTATGTATATACGGGTATATAGTGGTGGTGCTGTGTATCAAGTATCGGTAAAACAGCCCAGAAGACATATCCTGTGTATGTGAAATATGTGAGGTCATACAAGAGGTGAGGTGAGGTGAAATTGCTTGAGAATATTTCGCTGGTTTTATAGTGCTAGCCCACTGAGATACCATGCCGCAATGAAGCATGAATACCCACTCAGACACATTATACTGACTCCGAGCCGACCAGTCCTTGTTGTACCCATTAATGCTGAGCGCCAGGCAGGGACCAACAAGTACAATATTTTAACGTCTTTTGGTATGACGCGCTCTCCGGGCGGACGCTCTATCCACTACACCACGGAGGCGGTCTTCATACAAGAGAGTGGTAGTCAAATGTCAGAATAAGTACAGTGAATGTAGAAACTGGCACTAGTGAAAGGATAAACAGTGATATCACTATTCATTTAGAAGCACCCTTGGTCAAGTTTCTACAATGGACCGATGCCGTATATTCCGGTCACTATGAACTTCACACAGCTGATGGGCTTGATAGAATGGGATTTTGTAAAGACAGGTGCTTGCTGCTTTATACAGTCTTAAATCGTCCTAGAATGTCAAATACATACCCATGGCAGGTTGGTCTTTACTGTTCTCGAAGCTTCCAGATTACTCTTACCCACCATAGCAGGTTCATACAGTGAGTGAGTGAGTGATATTCCAGCTATATGGCGGCGGTCTGTAAATAATCGAGAATGGACCTGACAATCCAGTGATCAACAGCATGAGTATCGATCTACACAATTGTTACTCCAGTAACGTCAGCATAATTCCCAGAAGCATTCTGCCACAACAGTTTAACACTATTACACCACTATACAACTACACACTGGCCACGAGAACAGCAAGAAGACAAATCTGGCACCAAACTATTCCGATTTCAGCTCTTAATGTTTCATACTCGGAACGTTGAGGACCGCCTCCGTGGTGTAGTGGTTAGAGCGTCCGCCCGGAGAGCGGAAGGTCGCGGGTTCGATCCCCGACCGCGTCAAACCAAAAGACGTTAAAATATGGTACTTGTTGGTCCCTGCCTGGCGCTCAGCATTAATAGGTACAAGGACTGGTCGGCTCGGAGTCAGTATAATGTGTCTGAGTGGGGTATTCATGCTTCACTGCGGCATGGTATCTCAGTGGGCTAGCACTATAAAACCAGCTTCAGTCTGGGCTAGTACAAGCAGCCGCACATACACATACACACGCATGCACGTCGTCATATGAGCGAAATATTCTCAAGCACGACGTAAAACCCAATTTCACCTCACCTCACCCGGAACGTTGAGAGCAAACTGACCTGATTCAGCGCAGTGGAAGCTTGAAATGAATATCCTTGTAACAACTTGAAAATAAAAAGTATCTTTTAGTGTTTACTTTAGCATTTTGCGCAACAAATCATATTAGTCTTGAGCGTAAAATGGTAAAGTGACATAATGATGCCATTCTGATAAAAAGTCGTTTTGACCCACAAAGTTTCCTTCTTGAATGGTGCACCCGAGTCACCGGGAGACAGGGTTCACGCGTCATGTGGTGGGGTACAAATGTTGCAGGGATTGTCCAGCAGAGCAGAATGAATGACGTGATTCTAAATACTGAACAATGTTTGTTTGATGTTTGACGCCGCACAATATTCCACCAATATGGCGGCGCTGAACAATGTGTTTGAATACGATCTATACTGTGTGGTAACAACAACTTTAATGATTTCAAATTTTAGTTCTAAAGTATCATTTTCTGTGTTAAACTGTTTGAATTTAGAATCACCAGGTATTTTTTGTTTGCTGTCTGGCACCGTATTCAGTAATATTCCCGCAACAATCGAGTCTGGACCAGATACGCCAGTGATTGCCATCATTCCCACGCAATCGGAAAACAATGACATACAGCAACCAAGTCAGCGGGTCTGAAACTCATCCCGTAGTTGCCTCTCACCAGTCATGGGTTGCTGAAGAAGTATCCACATCTATCCCAGATGTTCACAGGTCAATCACCTCGCAAGGTACACCACTGGTACAATGTTGAAACCTTTTGTTCTACATACAATTAGATCAGAAATACCGAACATACCTAAGATAAATTATTTCTCTTTCATATCATTCAGGCAAAATTCCTGTGTGAAAAGTACAGGTGGCAGGTTGTTTGGGTGTGAAATGAATGCCCCTGCCCCTGCCCGCCTGCCGTGGACCACTTCTGTTCAGGAACATAAGACTGATGGTCTTGAGCAAGGACTGTTTGGAGAATAAATTATGATGAACGTATTTTGAGCACATCATTTCAGACTATAGCTAAAATGGATTGACTTATCATGAAACCGCCCTCCAGTTATCAGAAATGTGTTGGCCGCTGCAAATGATAATGGCCCGCTGATTTGTTAACAACAGACCATTATCAGTTCTGTTGTCAAATGACGTCAAACATGTTTTGTCTTGTTCTGTCAACCTTATGTCACGCTCCATTATGACTCATAAATCTTGTTCCATGACCTGTCAGTTTTGGGTCAACAGCCCATTGCAGTTATTTGAAGTAAACTTGCCATTAAATTTATGATACGGTTTCGTCTTTTTTTTAAACACAAATTCCATCCATTTTAATTATAATAGGGTATTTCAACAAATCATCCAGAAAACACAACAGAACAAAGTTAAATAGAAAACATTATATTTTCTCAAGTTCTGTTTATAATGGATAGTATATACAGGTGTATACATAAGACATATAGCCTCTATCCACTTGTATGTAGATCATTTGACATGATGTTGATGTGGATCCAGTTAATGACCACACAGACATCCACTGAAGACGGTGAAAGTAATGAGATGGAATAACTCTTTGAACAAACACAACCTGTGTAGCTCTATACCAATGTTTGTGTGTCAGCGGACTAGACATACACCTGGTTGTTTTAATTGATACACTCAACACATGTTTACTCTATCAATACACTGTATGCTACTTTTGAAATTTTCTTGGCAACTGTCTCAGATTGGATGGGAATAAGTGTCTGTGTTGGAAGTAACATCAAAGAAGGTTTAAGTACAGGCTCCCTTAATGCATAGGTTGTAACGGAATAAATACATGCACCAAACAAAACATCATGATCTTTAAACATACTGCAAGAGATCTTCATTCAACAGTCATGACATTCTTCAACATCCATGAAATTCCTCAACACTTCTGTTTCCATTATTAAGCCACATATATACTTAGTTCAATATTTATACTTATGGCCATAATGAGCTCTGTTCTTGAAGTTTCAACCTGTGACTGAAATGTTCTTCTGAGTAAGTAATCACCATCTGTCTATACATGTATAATATCTTCACAATCATCCTTCATCTGAGTACACAAACAGGCTAAATGTGTCATTCTTTTAATGTGTGATGTATTCTGACAAACATAACTGACAATAATGTGCAAAAGCTATCAAAACAAGGTATAAGTTGGTTTAAGTTGTAAGCAACATCATGACATAACCCCCACCAGTGAGGTGTTGAGTTGAGTTACGCAATGAGCCTTGTGTATGAAGGGCAGGAATCTGTGAGTATAACTGACTCGAGGGATATCGTGGAAGACTATCTGTGTCAGTATGACTGTGTGACGTGTGTGAAGCCGGGAGATGCCACGGGGTTACTGGGACATTGAGTCATACGGCTGGCAAGCTGGGGCTCAGGACATCAGTGCAGGCAGTGGGAAGGTTGCACACACTTGTGTCAGACTTCTGACCAGGATTCACTCAACACGCAACTACTGCTGATATCACTGTTGTTTCTTGCTGTTGATGGTTGTTCCGCTGCCAACAGGATGAAGAGTTTTCCCCTGACTCTCCGAAGTTGCACAAGGTCACCATGAGCCACCCCAGGTTGCACGCTGTCTCCTCCAGGTTGCACATACCACCATGAGCTACCACCACCAGGCTGCTGCCATCAGGTGAACACTATGTTTGAGTAAAGTTATGCTGCCTATATAGAAGGACGTTGTCATCTGTTACCAAGAATCTCCGCCAGGATCATCAGCCCGAACGACCCGAAGCAGTATAGTCCACCAGGAATCGCCCGCTGCATGTAGGATGTCCCAGCTAAGCTTGACAGAGACACAAACCAATGAATCTTATCATTACATGGATTACACAAAGCTCACCTAGGGAAACCATTGGACTAGCAGGCAATATACAAAGGTCATCAAAGACATGTGCATTAGATCAGAGTCAATTAAAGTGGCTTGATATCTGTTGAGAAAATGGAAGCTGGTTGTATTTTTCCATGTTACCGACATATGAACTTTGCTTTTCTCAAAATTTACATGTCATCTATATATGTACTTGTGGTGTTCTATCAACTAGACCCGTGAAGATCCGGGGTAGAATAGGTCTTCAGCAACCCATGTGCTTGCCATAAAAGGCGACTATGCTTGTCGTAAGAGGCGACTAACGGGATCGGGTGGTCAGTGTCGCTGACTTGGTTGACACATGTCATCGGTTCCCAATTGCGCAGATCGATGCTCATGCTGTTGATTACTGGATTGTCTGGTCCAGACTCGATTATTCACAGACCGCTGCCATATAGCTGGGATATTGCTGAGTGCGGCGTAAAACTAAACTCACTCACTCACTCACTCTATCAACTAACATGCTGTTTTCAGATTACAACAGTACGCCGTAAGTTGGAGTGAATCACTACCTGCCAACTGACACTCACCTGTCTGCTGTTCGTCTGTAGCCCAGTGCATGCTTTTCTCCACGGCTATCTTCCAGCGCAGGAACCGCTTGTCACGATCTGTCGCACAACACAATCAACACAATCAACACAATGACATATCTCAGTAACACTGGATGTCTTACACATTCTATGAGGACACAGAAGCACAGGAGTAGCTACTGAGAAGAAAAAGAATTTGATTGATGACAAGTTCTTTATTATGAGGAACACTCCTCACTCCTCATTCACCTGGTGAAGCAGTAAGTATACTCCCAAACGCTGTGCTCCTCATAATAAAGAAGCTGACAAACAACTCTCTTGCTTATGTGCATCATTTCAAAGACGAGCTACTTAGAAGTTCACAGAACCTAACCGTGGACAGAGTTCAGATGGACTGGCAGATGGGCATGCTTATAGACAGACAATCAAACGGACAGAGATTTCAGATGGACAGATGGACAGACGGACAGACAGACAGATGGACAGACAGGCAGCTTACCCTGTTTTGACACGGAGGGTTCAAAGACATCAGTGGTGATGGTGGTCAGGTCCTTGGGGTCGAGACTCCAGATCTCAATGCCCTCCGCCGCTCCTGCAGCCATTGCTGCCCCTAGTGCAGTGGTCTCCGGCATTGACGGCCGCACTGTCAATATCACATACACACAGGTCATTCCTAAATATGCTGGTCATGTATGTTTTAATATTCATGATATCACTCAACCCAAACAGTACTAGAATCTGTACTTTACTAAGAAAGTGTAATCCCAAATATAACATATGTTACATTTGACCATTTTCTAAATGGCATTGTGTATTTCATTATATCACTGACTGGTCAATGTAATATTGAATAGTCTTCATCACATTAGCTGACTAATGTGCTATTTAAGATTCATTATTGCATGTGCTGGCATATGTACTAGTCAGTAGTCATTATTACAATGGCCAGTCACTCTCACATTCAGTATTCTTCATTACATCAGTGTTACATACGCTGGTCAGTGTATCAGCTAAATGTAGCAACTAAATGTGCTAAATGGTAATAACTCGGTATCACATCAGACGAATATGGATATTCTATGGTCAGTCCATCAATTCATTATTACATCAAAACGATTTGATTCATAAAAGTCTTTGTAGTTTCTATTATTTTCCTATTTGTATCAACTGGCCACGAAACAAAACCAAGATAAATTGTTGATATCCAAGATTGTTATTATTCAGAGATAATTTGTTATAACTATTATAAACATGTACAACATTACGCATAAATGTGAACCTTTACATGTATTATGGAGCAGCATTAATATAAGCCAGTTAGGCTTGTTTGCCAATCCCTTTCTTTCTTCTTGAATGGAATACAATATGTTTAAACGAGATCTAGCAACTCACCGACTTTGATGCCGAGGATGTCTGCCTGTAGCTGCATGCAGATGCTGCTGACAGTCATGCCGCCGTCCACCTGCAGGGACGACAAGGGGATGCCGCTGTCCTTGTCCATCGCCTCCAGGATCTGACAACAGAACTCAGATGTCTGGGTGCATGCTCTAACACCTCTACACACTTGCCTCCCTTGTCTGTAGCATTTCTTATTCTTATATTACCTCCCTTGCCTGTAACATGCACGTACCTGTCTCTAATACCAAACACCGGTGTCAAATACATTTACTTCCTTTCCTGTAACTACTGATTCCTATGTTACCAATGTTACTTATCTGTAACATAAACAGAAGTCTGCCACACTTACCTCCCTTGTCTGTAACTACTGATTCATACATGACCTATGCTATCTGCCTATAACACACACAGAAGACTGACACACTTACCTCCCTTGTCTGTAACTACTGATTCATACTTAACCTATGCTATCTGCCTATAACACACACAGAAGACTGACACACTTACCTCCCTTGTCTATAACTACTGATTCATACATGACCTATGCTATCTGCCTATAACACACACAGAAGACTGACACACTTACCTCCCTTGTCTATAACTACTGATTCATACATAACCTATGTTATCTGCCTATAACACACACAGAAGACTGACACACTTACCTCCCTTGTCTGTAACTACTGATTCATACATAACCTATGCTATCTGCCTATAACACACACAGAAGACTGACACACTTACCTCCCTTGTCTGTAACTACTGATTCATACATAACCTATGCTATCTGCCTATAACACACACAGAAGACTGACACACTTACCTCCCTTGTCTGTAACTACTGATTCATACATTACCTATGCTATCTGCCTATAACACACACAGAAGACTGTCACACTTACCTCCCTTGTCTGTAACTACTGATTCATACATGACCTATGCTATCTGCCTATAACACACACAGAAGACTGACACACTTACCTCCCTTGTCTATAACTACTGATTCATACATAAACCTATGCTATCTGCCCATAACACACACAGAAGACTGACACACTTACCTCCCTTGTCTGTAACTACTGATTCATACATAACCTATGCTATCTGCCTATAACACACACAGAAGACTGACACACTTACCTCCCTTGTCTGTAACTACTGATTCATACATTACCTATGCTATCTGCCCATAACACAGACAGAAGACTGACACACTTACCTCCCTTGTCTGTAACTACTGATTCATACATTACCTATGCTATCTGCCCATAACAAAGACAGAAGGCTGACACACTTACCTCCCTTGTCTATAACTACTGATTCATACATTACCTATGCTATCTGCCTATAACACACACAGAAGACTGACACACTTACCTCCCTTGTCTATAACTACTGATTCATACATGACCTATGCTATCTGCCTATAACACACACAGAAGACTGACACACTTACCTCCCTTGTCTGTAACTACTGATTCATACATAACCTATGCTATCTGCCTATAACACACACAGAAGACTGACACACTTACCTCCCTCATACATTACCTATGCTATCTGCCCATAACACACACAGAAGACTGACACACTTACCTCCCTTGTCTGTAACTACTGATTCATACATGACCTATGCTATCTGCCTATAACACACACAGAAGACTGTCACACTTACCTCCCTTGTCTGTAACTACTGATTCATACATAACCTATGCTATATGCCTATAACACACACACAGAAGACTGACACACTTACCTCCCTTGTCTGTAACTACTGATTCATACTTAACCTATGCTGTCTGCCTATAACACACACAGAAGACTGACACACTTACCTCCCTTGTCTGTAACTACTGATTCATACATAACCTATGCTATCTGCCTATAACACACACAGAAGACTGTCACACTTACCTCCCTTGTCTGTAACTACTGATTCATACATAACCTATGCTATCTGCCTATAACACACACAGAAGACTGACACACTTACCTCCCTTGTCTGTAACTACTGATTCATACTTAACCTATGCTGTCTGCCTATAACACACACAGAAGACTGACACACTTACCTCCCTTGTCTGTAACTACTGATTCATACTTAACCTATGCTGTCTGCCTATAACACACACAGAAGACTGACACACTTACCTCCCTTGTCTGTAACTACTGATTCATACATTACCTATGCTATCTGCCCATAACACACACAGAAGACTGACACACTTACCTCCCTTGTCTGTAACTACTGATTCATACATTACCTATGCTATCTGCCCATAACACAGACAGAAGACTGACACACTTACCTCCCTTGTCTATAACTACTGATTCATACATTACCTATGCTATCTGCCTATAACACACACAGAAGACTGACACACTTACCTCCCTTGTCTATAACTACTGATTCATACATGACCTATGCTATCTGCCTATAACACACACAGAAGACTGACACACTTACCTCCCTTGTCTGTAACTACTGATTCATACATAACCTATGCTATCTGCCTATAACACACACAGAAGACTGACACACTTACCTCCCTCATACATTACCTATGCTATCTGCCCATAACACACACAGAAGACTGACACACTTACCTCCCTTGTCTGTAACTACTGATTCATACATGACCTATGCTATCTGCCTATAACACACACAGAAGACTGTCACACTTACCTCCCTTGTCTGTAACTACTGATTCATACATAACCTATGCTATATGCCTATAACACACACAGAAGACTGACACACTTACCTCCCTTGTCTGTAACTACTGATTCATACTTAACCTATGCTGTCTGCCTATAACACACACAGAAGACTGACACACTTACCTCCCTTGTCTATAACTACTGATTCATACATGACCTATGCTATCTTCCTATAACACACACAGAAGACTGACACACTTACCTCCCTTGTCTGTAACTACTGATTCATACATAACCTATGCTATCTGCCCATAACACACACAGAAGACTGTCACACTTACCTCCCTTGTCTGTAACTACTGATTCATACATAACCTATGCTATCTGCCTATAACACACACAGAAGACTGACACACTTACCTCCCTTGTCTGTAACTACTGATTCATACATAACCTATGCTATCTGCCCATAACACACACAGAAGACTGACACACTTACCTCCCTTGTCTATAACTACTGATTCATACATGACCTATGCTATCTTCCTATAACACACACAGAAGACTGACACACTTACCTCCCTTGTCTGTAACTACTGATTCATACATAACCTATGCTATCTGCCCATAACACACACAGAAGACTGTCACACTTACCTCCCTTGTCTGTAACTACTGATTCATACATAACCTATGCTATCTGCCTATAACACACACAGAAGACTGACACACTTACCTCCCTTGTCTATAACTACTGATTCATACATGACCTATGCTATCTGCCTATAACACACACAGAAGACTGACACACTTACCTCCCTTGTCTGTAACTACTGATTCATACATGACCTATGCTATCTGCCTATAACACACACAGAAGACTGACGCACTTACCTCCCTTGTCTGGAAGCACACAGCCTCCAGAGCAGCACGGCAGATGTGTTCCTTGCTGGTGAACTGACTAAGCCCGCAGATGACCCTGTAACACAGACATGACAGGTGACCCCGTAACACAGACATGACAGGTGACCCCATACCACAGACATGACAGGTGAGCCCATAACACAGACATGACAGGTGACCCTATAACACAGACATGACAGGTGACCCCATAACACAGACATGACAGGTGACCCTGTAACACAGACATGACAGGTGACCCCATAACACAGACATGACAGGTGACCCCGTAACACAGACATGGCAGGTGACCCCGTAATACAGACATGACAGGTGACCCAGTAACACAGACATGACAGGTGACCCCGTAACACAGACATGACAGGCGACCCTGTAACAGACATGACAGCTGACCCCATAACACAGACATGACAGGTGACCCTATAACACAGACATGAGAGGGTCATGTCTGACCCTGTAACACAGACATGGCAGGTGACCCTGTAACACAGACATGACAGGTGATGCTGTAACACATACATGACAGATGATCCTGTAACAAAGACATGGCAGGTGACCCTGTAACACATACATGACAGATGACCCTGTAACACAGACATGGCAGATGACCCTATAACAAAGACATGACAGATGACCCTGTAACACAGACATGACAGGTGACCCTGTAACACAGACATGGCAGGTGACCCTGTAACACATACATGACAGATGACCTTGCAACACAGACATGACAGGTGACCCCGTAACACAGACATGACAGGTGACCCTATAACACATACATGACAGGTGACCCTGTAACACAGGCATGACAGGTGACCCTATAACACAGACATGACAGGTGACCCCATAACAGAGAAATGACAGATGACCCTGTAACAGACATGACAGGTGACCCTGTAAAACAGACATGACAGGTGACCCTGTAACACAGACATGACAGGTGACACTGTAACACAGACATGACAGAAGACCCTGTAACACATACATGACAGATGACCCCAATAACACAGACATGACAGGTGACCCTATAACACAGACATGACAGGTGACCCTGTAACACAGACATGACAGATGACCCCAATAACACAGACATGACAGATGACCCTGTAACACAGACATGACAGGTGACCCTGTAACACAGACATGACAGATGACCCTGTAACACAGACATGACAGGTGACCCTGTAACACAGACATGACAGGTGACCCTGTAACACAGACATGACAGGTGACCCTATAACACATACATGACAGGTGACCCTGATAACACAGACAATACAGGTGACCCTATAACACAGACATGTCAGGTGACACAGTTGACATGACATACATGATACTTGATGGTAACGAGCTCTATAACCTATAGCGTACTCACCCCCTGGCGTCAGACTGCCAATATGGACAGAACAGCCCTGAGAATGCCGGAACAAAGTAGCAGCCATGAGTGCTGTCAACCCGTGCTGCCAGTTCATCTGGACAAAAACAACAAGTTGAAAGGACCTTGTCTGCAGTGTACTGCTATTGAGGCAGACTTGTTCTATCTGTGGTTTATACTTTACTCATAGCTAGCAAGATGTAGTCTAACACGCTCTGTACCTACCGATTTCAGGGGATGTTTTGATGACGTCCAGGTTGTCCCGCAGCCAGCGTACACACGCCCCAGCTATAGCGATGGAGCCCTGCAACATGCACAGACATCATTACCACACTGTTTGGATCACACCTGCAGATTGTTATCTTTTGCTTCTGTTAGGAATCGGGCGGTGGGGTAGCCTAATGGTTAAAGCGTTGGCTCGTCACGCCGAAGACCCGGGTTCGAATCCCCACATGGGTACAATTTGTGAAGCCCATTTCTGGTGTCCCCCGTCGTGATGTTGCTGGAATATTGCGAAAAGCGGCGTAAAACCAAACTCAGTCAGTCAGTCAGTCTGTTAGGAATCAATGACAGATCCTTAGTGTTCTCTTACCTCCAGGGCATACACGACAGGCTTGGACTTGCCCAGTTTGTAGGCAACAGTAGTGAGCAGTCCTGTCTTGGATTCTACAGGGCTGGTTCCTGTGTTGTACAACAAGAAACATCCAGTCCCGTATCTGAAACACACAAGAAGTGAGACATGGTCTCCACATGGTTTCCCCGCCCTGATCACTGAACATCCCCATATGCATATCTAGGAAGTCACATGATCTAGATAGTTAGAAGCTACATGTCCGGCCATTGTCCACCTGACACAGCTACACTCTAGACATGCCAGACTGATATCCCCCTTACATCACTACATGCTGAAAACTGTTCCGCTGTCCGCCCCTTACATCACTACATGCTGAAAACTGTTCCGCTGTCCGCCCCTTACATCACTACATGCTGAAAACTGTTCCGCTGTCCGCCCCTTACATCACTACATGCTGAAAACTGTTCCGCTGTCCGCCCCTTACATCACTACATGCTGAAAACTGTTCCGTTGTCCGCCCCTGACATAGCTACATGTCAGACAGCTGTTCAGTTGTCCGCCCCTAAAATAGCTACATGTCAGACAGCTGTTCATTTGTCTGCCCCTGACATAGCTACATGTCAGACAGCTGTTCCGTTGTCTGCCCCTGACATAGCTACATGTCAGACAGCTGTTCAGTTGTCCGCCCCTGACATAGCTACATGTCAGACAGTTGTTCATTTGTCTGCCCCTGACATAGCTACATGTCAGACAGCTGTTCATTTGTCTGCCCCTGACATAGCTACATGTCAGACAGCTGTTCCGTTGTCTGCCCCTGACATAGCTACATATCAGACAGCTGTTCAGTTGTCCGCCCCTGACATAGCTACATGTCAGACAGCTGTTCAGTTGTCTGCCCCTGACATAGCTACATGTCAGACAGCTGTTCCGTTGTCTGCCCCTGACATAGCTACATGTCAGACAGCTGTTCAGTTGTCCGCCCCTGACATAGCTACATGTCAGACAGCTGTTCAGTTGTCCGCCCCTGACATAGCTACAAGTCAGACAGCTGTTCAGTTGTCCACCCCTGACAGAGCTACATGTCAGACAGCTTTTTATTTGTCTGCCCCTGACATAGCTACATGTCAGATATCTGTTCAGTTGTCCACCCTGACATAGCTACATGCCAAACAGCTGTTGTGACTCACGTGTTCTTGGCCTGGCCCAGCTGGAAGCAGGTCTGGCCCACCAAGGCAGCCTGCTGGTCTCCAAGGATCTGAAATATAATTAGATTAATACAGCTTTGAACAACTCCTGTTATATCATGGCATGTGCCAGTTACACAAAGAAGGAAGGACTAAAGTAATGCAGGTCTCCGACTTTCACTACTTGGAATGGGCAGGACAAACTATCCAGTACTCTTACCCGCGAACAGGGAGGCTGTGTGAAGGCAGGACGCTGCATAAAATCTTGGGTTAAGGTAGGGATGAACAAATAGTATGATTCAGGTCAAAAAAATAGTATGTACAGGTCATGTACAGGCTCGCTGGCTTGGTTGACACGTCATCGGTTCCCAAATGTGCAGGTCAATGCTCACGCTGTTGATCACTGGATTGTCTGGTCCAGACTCTAATATTTACAGACTACCGCCATATAGCTGGAATATTGCTGCGTGGGGCGTAAGCCTAAACTCACTCACTCACTCGTTGAAACTTCCTGATCTGTGTTCCTCAAGAACAGAAAAACATCTCATCCGAATTCACCCTAGCAAGGCAACATATTTCTTTCTGTATATAAGCAGATAAGGGGATTAGATGTGTTTCCAGTTCAGACATAAAATATGTTTTCTCCCCATAATTTCCCTGCCACACTGGAGGGGAATGCTGAAGACACCTACCCCTGATATTGGCAGGCCTTTGAGTGGTCCGTCAGCAGCATGACCGTAGATCTCAGAGGAGCTGTGGATCTCTGGTAGGATCTCCTTTGGAATGTTAAAGAACCTGGGGAACAGAAAAAGATGGTAAATGGACTAATGATTCTGCCGAGAATGTCAACAACACCTTCATACACAGTCATCTACAACAGACACCTACAAACAGACACCTACACACAGACACCTACCTAGACACCTACAAACAGACACCTACATACAGACACCTCTACACAAACACCTACAAACAGACACCTACATACAGACACCTACACACAAACACCTACATACAGACACCTACATACAGACACCTACAAACAGACACCTACATACAGACACCTACCTACAGACACCTACACCTACACAGACATCACATTCCGACACCTACATACAAACACCTACATACAAACATGTACAGACACCTACACAGACATCTACACACAAGTACCTACACATAAACACCTACATACAAACACCTACATACAGACATCTACATACAGACACCTACATACAGACACCTACCTAGACACCTACCTAGACACCTACAAACAGACACCTACACCTACACAGACATCACATACCGACACCTACATACAAACATGTACAGACACCTACATACAGACACCTACATACAGACACCTACACATAAACACCTACATACAAACACCTACATACAGACATCTACATACAGACACCTACATACAGACACCTACCTAGACACCTACATACACACACCTACACCTACACAGACATCACAAACCGACACCTACATACAAACACCTACATACAAACATGTACAGACACCTACATACAGACACCTACATAAAAACACCTACACACAGACACCTACACAGACACCTACATACAGACACCTCTACACAAACACCTACAGACAAACACCTACATACAGACGCCTACACCTACACAGACACCTACATACAGACACCTCTACACAAACACCTACAGACAAACACCTTCATACAGACACCTACACAGACACCTACATACAAACACCTACAGACACCTACAGACAAACACCTACATACAAACACCTACACACAGACATCTACATACAGACACCTACATACAGACACCTACACACAAGAACCTACACACAAACATCTACATACAAACACCTGCACACAGACACCTACATACAGACACCTACACACAGACACCTACACAGACACCTACACACAGACATCTACATAGACACCTACATACAGACACCTACACAGACACCTACACACAGACATCTACATACAGACATCTACATACAGACATCTACACACAGACACCTACACAGACACCTACACACAGACATCTACATACAGACATCTACATACAAACACCTACACAGACACCTACACACAGACATCTACATACAGACACCTACACACAAGAACCTACACACAGACACCTACATACAAACACCTACACACAGACACCTACACACAGACACCTACACACAGACATCTACATACAGACACCTACATACAGACACCTACACACAAGAACCTGCACACAGACACCTACATACAAACACCTACATACAGACATCTACAGACACCAACCTACATAGACAGCTGTCTTTACACACACCTTACGACAGACACCAACCCACATAGACATCTGTCTTTACACACACCTTACCACAGACACCAACCTACATAGACATCTGTCTTCACACACACCTTCTGACAGACACCAACCTACATAGGACACCTTTTGCAGACCCCTTCGTATGGAGACACCTACATACATAAATACCTTCTCACACAGACACCTACCTACACTGTGCAAGGAACGTAAACCACAGGCATCTACCTACAAAGACGCCTTCCGACACAGACACCTACCTAAAGAAATCTACACACAGACATCTTCCTCCAAGGACACAGAGACAGACAAATGCCTACACACACACCTGTCTATATTGTCAACCGACACCTACCTACACACACACCTGTCTATATTGTCATCCGACACCTACCTACACACACACACCTGTCTATATTGTCAACCGACACCTACCTACACACACACCTGTCTATATTGTCAACCGACACCTACCTACAAAGGCTGTCGTCCCACTCAAGCGTGTGTAGACTCATCAGCATGGTGCGGCTCGCGTTGGTGACGTCGGTGAAGTGCTTGCCTCCATTTGTTCCTCCTGTCATTTTCTGTCAGGATACAAACATGGACCAACTTCAGTGAAACATCACACAAGGTGTTACTTGAGACCCGGGACTGACCCATCGGGACTCTTCTTACAGTCAGTAATCACACAAGGTGTTACTCGAGACCCGGAACTGACAGAATGGGACTCTTCTTACAGACAGTAATCACACAAGGTGTTACTCGAGACCCGGAACTGACAGAATGGGACTCTTCTTACAGTCAGTAGTCACACAAGGTGTTACTCGAGACCTGGAACTGACAGAATGGGACTCTTGTTACAGACAGTAATCACACAAGGTGTTACTCGAGACCCGGAACTGACAGAATGGGACTCTTCTTACAGTCAGTAGTCACACAAGGTGTTATTCGAGACCTGGAACTGACCCATCGGGACTCTTCTTACAGTCAGTAATCACACAAGGTGTTACTCGAGACCCGGAACTGACAGAATGGGTCTCTTCTTACAGTCAGTAATCACACAAGGTGTTACTCGAGACCCGGAACTGACAGAATGGGACTCTTCTTACAGTTAGTAAATCACACAAGGTGTTACTCGAGACCCTGACTGACCTATGGGACCATGATCAGTATATGATGTGTGATACAAACTCATGTCGTCCCCCTGTGAAAATACCAGAATAGAATGGGTCCTCGCTAACCTATACTTGTCTTCCTCTGGATTAGAATGGGTCTACACTAACCAAAGTGGGCAGTTATCGGCAGTGCTGTGTGTTGATTGCATCCTGGTTCCCTCTTTAACTATTGCTCAGGAGTCCCCACTGGGTCCCCACTAACCTGTACTTGTCCCCATAGAGATTGCGGATAAAAATTACTGGAAACTCCAGATCAGAATTGTCGATTACATCCTGGTTCACTTTTTTAAAATCGCTGAGGAGAACCACATACCCAGAGCAGCCAGGAGTCAACTGTGCCGAACAGACACCGACCTTCCTTGACGGCGACCTTCACCTCCTCGCTGTGGTCCAGCAGCCAGCGGAGTTTGACTGCGCTGAAGTAGGTGGTGATGGGAAGACCGCACTTGGGCTGCAACACAAGGGAGATCACTCACTGTATATTGTAACATATCTCACTGTGGGATTACACTTTCTTAGTAAAGTTAAAGTTCTCTTTTCTTGTTGAGTCCCAACTGGCATTCGAACCCACACTGTCAGAGCCAGGCACCTAATCTAACCAGTAGTAATAGAGTGGGGGTTTTGCATCACATGCGGCTTAGAGGCTTATTTTTATTAAATAAGTTCCCCAGCCCCCCTTAAAAACGGCGATGGTCTATCGTGAGGCATCCTTCCATGTGCTGTCAGCCTAGACCCAAAGTTCCGAGCATTGAAGTATCAGCCGGCTCGCCAGTGTGATGGTTAGAGCGTTCACACAAGGTATCTGTAATATTGAGCGACAACTCGTTCAAGGATGCTACAGAGTAGGTGGAATATGGGGCGACTAACTAACGTATCCATGAGACGTTGTAACCGTTCGGTGCCCACGAGACCTAAACTATCGTACAGGCTGGTGAATTTCCCTCGACTTATGAGTCGACGCAGGGCGGCGTAAATATTGAGGCCACTGACGTCCACCCAGACACGTCCGAACAACCGTTTCTCGATCAATCTCCACATGTTGATAATGAGATACATAAGACGAATCTTTAATAAGAAGGGGGCAATACCGTGTCGCGAGGGACGATCATCAATTCCTCTCGGTCTTGCAAGTAATACAAATTCGGTTCGTCGTCTTTGATGTCCACTCGGTCGATATGGTACGTTTTCATGGACCATACAGGATTTGTGGCCCGACGTTTATCCCCTCCTTCGAGTTCACCGGGCTCGTACAGATACCTCACAACGACCCGGTCCAATGGCGCAGCTGATTCGGTCGTCATGGATTTCATTCGAATGGCTTCGACGGGTCTTTTATCGAGGAGTCGAGTGACTCTGTTGTTGATCACCGACACCACTCGCGGTAAGCGCACCACCCATTCCGTCGATCGTTTTTCTGGGTTGACCATCTCTGAGGCATACTGATGTCCGAACAAACGCTCGGCTAAAGTCCTGTTGAATCTTTCGACGATGGCTTGGCTTTGGTGAGCTCCAGCCACGCCTCGTCTCACCTGGACTTTCTAAGGCCTTAGCGACCTGACGAATCTTTGGTCGTTAACGGCTCCGCTTCCTTGTAGCGTCTGGCAACGTCCACGACAGTCAGGGCGTACTTGTACGTTTTGTTTCTCACCCTGTCGTGCGAGAGAAACAGGAGGTCGGCTTGATGGGTACGGTTGGGTATCGAAATGCCAAACTTTCTTCTCGGGATGTATCGGGGAGCTGGCAGGTACACTTGCCAGATGGCTTGTTTTTAAGCCAAGCTTTGGCGGTATCCTCGGAGACACGAGCGGCTTTGGCTAGCTTCGGGATGGCGCTCACACCTTTCCAGTAACCCCGAGAGCCGTAGCAAACCTTCTCCATGATGCATACACGCTATCGTTCATTCAATTGCCTCGACGCATCGAGTGGAGTTTCCTTTATTGGGGGTCTCGGAAACTCCCAACGTCGAGGTCAACTGTTGATACCCATAGCTATAAGTGTGGATGCCATCGTTCGCAATCCATCGTTTGGTATCCATGGGGGACCTCATTTTGCCGAGGACTTTTTTGTTGGCTTGGCTGTGGCTTGGATGGTCTTTCGGATAGTCGCTGGTGTCGTACAAATCGATGTGTTTCGCCATGTTCTCGTATACGTCCTTGCTGCGTATATTCAACAACAAGGAATCAGTGTCAGTGTACAGCAGCTCGAACCGATCGCCGTACTGTGGCTTGAGTTGGTTGTAATAAAAGTCGTACATCAAATGTTTGGACAGGTCGAGAATGCTCATCCCAACGTAAACGGGTCGGTTGAGCTTGATGTGTAGCGCTGCCAAGTTGTTATCGAATAGCCTGCTCCGGTTTCCTGAGTTTTTCTTCCTCGTGAGATCACATGAGTTTGACCATCACCCGTTTTCTCAAGTTTTCCATGGTTTTCCCGAACACCCAATTGTTCATGAGTTTGTAGAGATTTTTCTCAAAGTCGCTCGTGGCTTGTTTTCGCAGCTCGGTGTTCAACCAAATGTAAGGTTCCATTCAGGGACTTTGATTAAATTTGAGCACCCGATATATTATAGTCAGCTTCAGGGACAAGTACAGTTGCAGATTCCGATAGTGATACAGGAGGTCGTTGGTGGGTTTGCTTCGTTTGAGTCGTAGCTTTCCACGTATTTGTTGTTGACTTTCGCGTACTGTTTGGTGACCATGGAAATCCCACCGCGCATCCCTTTCTCGACGAACAGGTGCATGTCGTAATCCATGAGCAATTCCAGTTTGACGCCCGTTTTCTTCAAGAGCGCATCCCATGAGAGACCAGAGCTGGTGTAGTACCAGGCAGGGTCAAGTTGATACTGTTTCAAACACGTTCTGAACGTCTCGAACACGTCGGCCAGCAGCAGGACGTCCGTTTTAAAGTAGAGGTTGTGATAATCGCCCAAATGTCGACACCACAGTTTCTCCCACGCTCTGGGTGCTGTCGTAATCGTCCTGGGAGATGGTCGAGTCGGTTAAGCCGCTGTAAAATCGGCCGATGGGGGATAGTTGGGTCTCGTCGACAGATAACAACTTTTGCGTTTTCAATGATGATAGTTTCTTGGTGGAGTCCGAAAAATTTTCAAATATAAGAAAGCTGTTGGGTATTTGTAAATGATAAACATGCGTACTCTTTATATTTATGTGGCAATTTTGTACAATGATAAAATTTGCAATTCATCGGTCCGTTTCTGACTCAAACGGACTGTAAATGGTTTAGTTTTTCAAATTGGGTCCAGTAGGAAATGGGTGTGGGTTTAACTAAGCCATCCCAGTTAAGCCCGTCGTCTTCGCGGTAGCTCGAAGGTCTATTCTTATTAATAGCTACTGGAAATAAGAATATACTGCACAAGCATCGTCTTTATTTTTAATGTTATTAATGGCTTTTTTATTTCTGTAGTAAGGTGGCAAGTCTAGGAACGTTCCGCCTCTGAACGGTACGTAGTTCGCTATATCCAAATAGATGGTGTTGATACTTCCCACCACCAACCTGGAGCCCCTGTGCGTCCATCGTTCCAACGATTCTTGTATTTTTTGTAGCGAGGTATCGAGGGTCGAAGGGATCAAGTCGGATTGAAGTTCGACTTCCTGCTTGCCTCTGAAGTAAGGCTCGATGGACTCGGTACTGCCATCCGTCTGCTGTTTGTTGAGCGACATGTGGATGGTCAACTGGTATTTGTTACTTTCTAAATCATCCAACTCTTCTTCGACTTTGTTGGCGATCAGAGGTTTGATGCTGTTGACGTCGATGTTAGACTGCACGGTCATTTTCCAGCCTCTCAGATACTTACCCACTGCGTGGTCCGTCGGCACGAATCTCAACTTGACCGGCTCGGTGTCTTCCAGCAAGGTGAGCAGTTGGGGTTTCCTCATGCGAGAATAACCCTTCAACCCCCGTTCTTTAGCTCGGAGTTTGAGGTCTCGCACGGTAGGGGGCTTGATATACTTCATGTCGAGCAAGGTGAGCAGTTGGGATTTCCTCATGCGAGAATAATCCACCAATCCACGTTTTTTCGCCATTGCTTCGACTTCACCGACGGTCGTCATGATTGCAATATCAATGTGCGAAAACTCTTTTTTTAAAATTAAATAATTTTTATGTTCAAGTGCGAAGTCAAATGTCTAATAGGTTGTTCAATCAAGGAAGGTAACTCCATCAGCCTTCTCTCTGAAATGAAGCGCACGTAAAATCTTTTTTTAAATGTTTATTCTGAGGAGTCGGTTACGTTCGTTGAGATAATCTCCTTTCGTCAAGTAGATGAGATGACCTCGGACCACGTCCGCTCCATGAGCTTTGCAACGACGATAATGACATTTCAAGCCAATCCTGCACATTTCGCACGTGTAGTTGACGTAACCCTTTCTGACGGACATCATGTGGATTCCGCAATAGTCGGTGCATTTCCTGCCGCAGGTTTCGGTTTTTCCGAGAAGCACGTACTGACACTGAAACGGTGCGTGTCGTCCCATCTTTATACCCATGTAAATATATTTTATACACATAAATAAATATTTTAGTCTAACTGTTTGGCAGTCCATACGGTGGCGGCTAATCCTAAGGCCACAAAAATCTGCTCCCAGTCTTGCTGTGCCTTGGGAGGGGTGTAATACTGGGAGAAGGTGGGTTCGTCGCCGAGAGGTTCCAATCGTTTGCCGGTAAGCAGGTAGTATTGTTGCATGGCGTCGTCGACGTCCTTGAACGTTCGAAAGGCGTGGTTTTCGCGTTGGAGTTGGGCGTTAATGAAATCGATTCTTTCCATGCGTTTTTTCACGTACTCGGCTTGCGCGGCCTGAGTTTCTCCACGGCCAAATCGTGACGTTTCTGTTCCGCTTCGATTTCGGCCGCGTTGGGCATGCCTAATTGGGGAAAAAGGTAATTGCTTCCCGAAAAGGCTAGGGCGTTGACTAAAGTCACGCCGAGCATGATCGCGACTGTGGCCATCTTTATATGTACGTCTTTATATGTATTTTCTACTTTAATATGTTTTCAGGAATGATGCCTTGCTTGACGAGCATTGCTTTGGTGGCCATCACCAGTCCCAACTCAGGGGAAAACGAGCATGCCCATGTCTTGCAGGTTGAAATCGAGTTTGGGTGCCGGTTGTTTGGTGATCATTTTGCTCAATCAAGCGTAGCATATGGCCAGTCCGCTGATCACGGCGGCGTGATACGCGTCTTAACGAACGTTTTTATGTCGGGGTTAGACATGGTGTGTATATATAAAAGAAAATATTATTTTTTAAATTATAACATGATATGACGATTTACTGCTAATTGAGGTGCTGCCGGTTTGAATTTGTACAGCCATGCGGTCATGACGGTGGTGCATGCTGCCGCTACGGCGTACGGGACCCATTCACGTGTTTTTTCTGCTGTTTCGCCAGCACGCCTTTGCGACCGGCGGCTACTTTCTGGGGATTCTTTTTTTGGGTGACGGTCTTAATCGGTTCCTCCTCCGTTGTTGGTGGTTGTTCTGGGACAGGTTCCATCAGTTGTTGGTCGAATATCAGCGCTAAGAGAAACAACAACAAGCTGTTTATCGATAATAGCCGCCACCTGTTGACCAACGGTTATTATAACGTGTGTATGCTGGACGACGGAATTTTTAAACCCGTCGGAGCCAGGCTTAAACTCAACGAGTCGGATGGCATGTTCAAGTTGACGAATGGAGACCAACCCATCAAACTGGGCCGACCCTTGGCGAGAACACTAGGGTTGACGACTTACGAGATAGCACCTCGAGACACTGTCACAGGCTTGAAATTGCCGAGCCTTGTCCCCTTCCGCTAACTGTGCATTCACCTCAATCAGCTGAGCATGACGGACAACGTTCAAGGCGAACGACCCTCCACGCTGCTGAGAGCCGTGCCGATGAAAACGGAAAAGTACAACGACGGCAGAACCGAATCGTTTTCGACCTTGCAGTACAAGAAATTAACGCGAGGCAACATCACGTAATTGAAACTATCAGTTTTAGATATAAAATATAAACCCGTTCATATAGGATACCTCAGCGCGACGCTGCACATCAAACAATGATGACAGAAGCTTCGGGTCCGGGAATGCAACCGGGAAAATGTGCGAACCTAGCGATCTCCGACCTCAGGGACACGCACGGTTTCGACGAGCCCGGCATCGACAGCAGACTGTACGCCTTGCAACTCAAAAACAACATTTACAAACGTGTCAAAGTGAGCAGCCGATCTGGTGGTAACCTAGAAGATTTAGTCGATGTCGAGACCGGAGGTCTCTTAAAAAACACGCAGTACAATCTCGTTCGCAATGCCAATAACACATGGGTGATGGTTCCAGCCTTCGGCGGCAAACTGTTTGACTTGGACAACATACGCGATAGTCCTTGTTACTGTGTCTCTACTCACCCGGAGATAGTCCTTGTTACTGTGTCTCTACCCACCCTGAGATAGTCCTTGTTACTGTGTCTCTACCCACCCTGAGATAGTCCTTGTTACTGTGTCTCTACCCACCCTGAGATAGTCCTTGTTACTGTGTCTCTACCCACCCTGAGATAGTCCTTGTTACTGTGTCTCTACCCACCAGGAGATAGTCCTTGTTACTGTGTCTCTACCCACCCGGAGATAGTCCTTGTTACTGTGTCTCTACCCACCCGGAGATAGTCCTTGTTACTGTGTCTCTACCCACCCTGAGATAGTCCTTGTTACTGTGTCTCTACCCACCCGGAGATAGTCCTTGTTACTGTGTCTCTACCCACCCGGAGATAGGCCTTGTTACTTTGTCTCTACTCACCCGGAGATAATCCTTGTTACGCTGTGGTGTTTTCCCAACCAAACTGTCCACTGTTGAGGCTGTTCGGAGGTCCAGCCACACTGCAACATAGACAGAAAGTTGGTACACAGCACACATACATCTGCTTTAAATTGTGGTACTGCAGTCTTGTTGATTCTCATTGAATTAAACAGACTTTTCTTTCCATTTGACTCAAAATAAGACCTTTTACTTCCAGTGTGTCCCTCTCAGTATGAAGACAGGGCATGATACATAGCCACATAATCTCTCTAATTAGACAAGGCTTCTATTTTGATGGAACTTGTGAGCAAAGCAGCCTATCTCATATCTGCTTCTTAAAAACAAACTTAAAACTTAAGTCCTGGATGTAAGACTGACTGACTGAGTTTAGTTTTACGCCGCTTTTAGCAATATTCCAGCAATATCACGGCAGGGGACACCAGAAATGGGCTTAACACATTATGCCCATGTGGGGAATCGAACCCGGGTCTTCGGCGTGACGAGCCAACGCTTTAACCACTAGGCTACCCCACCGCCCCCTGAATGTAAGAAAGAGAATCAGCACACACTCCTGTTATGGATAGTTTTTACAATTTGTCTTTTCAGTTTGCAAATACATCTACAGTCTGTTTGAATCTCCCGAATGAATTTCACTCTAACTAAAAAAAACAACAACAAATAATCATAAATGACTCAAACCAATGCCAAAGTCAATAGGAAAAACACACCAACTCTGCAGAATTTTGTTATAATTTTTGTCAACAAAATAAAAAAGTTGTTTAACAAACCATCATTATTTTCATTTGTCCTAAAGTGTCAGGAAGTGTTCCAGAGTTTCGGGGATAATATTAAATCCTATTTTGTTTTAATGTTCCTTTTCTGTTTTTTTATGTCCATTTCCTTGTCCTACTTTTTATTGTTGTGATCCGTGCCATTCGTCTGAACCATGTGCTCCGATCCGCTGAACCTTGTTCGATATACTTTGTGTAAAGTTGATGTAATTAAACAGCTGTCAAACTGAATCAAATCGAATAGTGCCTTCTATTTTAAGACATGGTCCCGCGAGGCAGATATTGACAGCTGTCTGAGCTGAATTTCAGCATCGTGTTGTGAGTATGATGAAATGACAGTACCTCTCACACATTGAACATTCTTTTAAATTGTTGAAATATACACTATCGTGTAATTGTCACACAAAATGAGTGATCCCAGTGCACCTAGGAAGTCTTCTAGAGAGAGGCGACCGCCTGATTATCTCTCAGACTATGAACTGAATGTATCAAACGTGCTTTCAGAGCTGTGCGACCGAACTGTAGTAAAAAGTGAAGCACTCATAAAATCACCTCAGGGGTCTCGTTGTGGAAGTGGACGAAGTCGGCAAAGCAAAATTTCTGTTTTCAGTCGTCTTTCGGCACGTTCAGGATTATCAGATGAGCAAAATCTCACGTTAAGCGAATTCAAAGTAAAACGAAATTGCAAGAACTCATGATTGGGCAAAAGGAGGACGAAATTGCTGATGAAAGGATGAATCAGCTTGATGATGAAGCCTTTAAGGCACAAGAGACTACCTGTCGCGTTCTCAAAGAAAGGGAGAAAGTTGTCGTGCTCGTGAACTTAGACAAGCCCATGATGAACTAAATGAGGCTAGTATGATAGTGTCAATGTTGATATCAACTACGTCCACTCCTCATACAAAATCACAACCTCCTACCGCCACTTCTTTGGCTCCGACCACATCATTGCCTTCTACCTCTACTTACCAAACCTCCAGTGTCATACCTGCAAGTGCTACGACACAGGTGACGTGTAATACCCCCACTAAGTCCAGAACACATACCTGACCTACAGTTCACGTAAGCTTACCTCCCTCAGCGCCGACCCTTCCAACCCTACCACCAAGAGGACATGTCCGGTCCAGACAAGGGCTTTCTGTCCAGAGTGGTTTCACCCGGTTACTACTGCCCATCATGCTACTCAACCTGTGATGACCAACCTACCAACTGCACCAACACCAACCGGTCTCTCAGAACTTCTCATTTCCTCCTCATTTGGTCTAACAAGACCAAGTTTACCAACATTTGATACTGATAATGAGAAGGATTTCAGACTATTGAAGATGTCATTTGAAAACCTCATTGACGGTCACCCTCATTTGAGTGAGAAGTACAAGTATCAAATATTGATGGATCACCTTGGTGGTAATACCAAGTAGCTAGCCTGTGCCTATCTGAGTCACGCCACGCCATATACCATGGCGCTGAAAGCCCTAAATGAAAAATATGGTCTTCCTCGCCAGCTGGTTTTAGGAGAATTAAACTCTATCTTATCCAGCCCTTTGTAAAATCCAGCGATCATGCTGCCCTCGACAACTTTGCCCTCTCGGTTCAATCTCTTGTGGGCATGTTGACCAGTATTGAAGCGGAATTGAGTGTTGAATTGAAATGTGGATCCCACGTGGATAAATTATTGACAAAACTGCCCTTTCATTTCCAAACGAGTTTCATTGAGTATAAGACAAAATGTTATGGATGTCAACTTCTTCTTTATTGTATACACAACGTTTCTGGGCTATTCCTTGCCCCTTCGTCAGATGAATGCTAAATAACAGATAAACAGGATATATATACTAGTAATGTACATGAAGCCAGAATGATTTTAAGCATGTATATACAATAAATAGGGGATTTTAAGATGAAAGAGACTAAAATATACAAAGGCAGATGTGGTGTTGTTACAGTGGATTAAGTGAGTAAACGATAGACTGACTGACTGACTGAGACTGGTTTTACCGCTTTTGAATATTCCAGCAACATTTGGGGACACCAGAACGGGCTTAGCACATATACCCATGTGGGGATTCATCCGGGGGACGAGCCAACGCTTTAACCACTAGGCATTGTGTAAATGATAGATTGACTGACTGACTGAGTTTGGTTTTACGCCGCTTTTAGCAATATTCCAGCAACATCAATGCAGGGGACACCAGAAATGGGCTTCACACATTGTGCCCATGTGGGATTTGAACCCGGGGCTTCGCGGTGACGAGCCAATGCTTTAAGCCAATGAGTCTAATAGGTGTACAAAAGGGTGGCTGATAGTCTAATGATATACATTAGCTGGGATAAGAAACGAAAGGCAGGGTTGATGCTGTTACAGTGGATTAAGAGGTGAATTGGTGAAGCCATGACCTAATTGATACTTCATTGAGTACTGTCTCAACCATGGTATTCTTACCCATGAAGCACAATCTACCTACACTTTGATACATCTGAACGATTGGCTCCAGGCCAAGTCCAGAGCTAGTCGCATTGCCCAGCAGGCTGTCAGCTCTGTAAAGTCTGATACTCGATCCCAGAAGAATCTTCACCGCGGATCTAGACCTACAAGGTCACAACGACCAAAACATCCTGTCTCTCTCAACACTGTAACTACGCCCAGTCATGCAAGACCTGAACCTGCTGTTCCAACAGGTGGAAAAACAACTTACAAGTCCTACTGTTCTTCTGTAACAGCGAACATCATCACATCAGTTTCTGTAACAGTTTCAAGAGATTGAAGGTTGATGAAGTGATCACATGGATAAGGGACAAAAAAGGTGTTGGAAGTGTGGGAGATCTCATTCACTTAATGCCTGAAATCTCAAGAAGCCCTGCAACATTTGCCAAAAGATGCATCTAACCATCTTACATGACACCGTCCAACAAACTTCAACTCAGTCATATTCTATGAAGCAGTCACCTCTCTACCTAAGCCCTCTGATCCTACAGAAAGATGTGCCAGTCACCTCTCTACCTCGACCAGCCCTCTCAATCCTACAGAGTGATCCTGAAAGTTGTGCCAGTCACCTCTCTACCTCGACCAGCCCTCTCAATCCTACAGAGTGATCCTGAAAGTTGTGCCAGTCACCTCTCTACCTCGACCAGCCCTCTCAATCCTACAGAGTAATCCTGAAAGTTTTGTCAGTCACCTCTCTACCTCGACCAGCCCTCTCAATCCTACAGAGTGATCCTGAAAGTTGTGCCAGTCACCTCTCTACCTCAACCTCTCCCTCCTACAGAGTGATCCTACAGAGTAATCCTGAAAGTTGTGCCAGTCACCTCTCTACCTTGACCAGCCCTCTCAGCTGGGCCACAGAGTGATCCTGAAAGTTGTGCCAGTCACCTCTCTACCTCGACCAGCCCTCTCAATCCTACAGAGTGATCCTGAAAGTTGTGCCAGTCACCTCTCTACCTCGACCAGCCCTCTCAATCCTACAGAGTGATCCTGAAAGTTGTGCCAGTCACCTCTCTACCTCGACCAGCCCTCTCAATCCTACAGAGTGATCCTGAAAGTTGTGCCAGTCACCTCTCTACCTCGACCAGCCCTCTCAATCCTACAGAGTGATGAAAGTTGTGCCAGTCACCTCTCTACCTGCCAGTCACCAATCCTACAGAGTGATCCTGCCAGTCACCAGACCAGCCTCTCAATCCTACAGAGTGATCCTGAAAGTTGTGCCAGTCACCTCTCTACCTCGACCAGCCTTCTCAATCCTACAGAGTGATCCTGAAAGTTGTGCCAGTCACCTCTCTACCTCGACCAGCCCTCTCAATCCTACAGAGTGATCCTGAAAGTTGTGCCAGTCACCTCTCTACCTCGACCAGCCCTCTCAATCCTACAGAGTGATCCTGAAAGTTGTGCCAGTCACCTCTCTACCTCGACCAGCCTTCTCAATCCTACAGAGTGATCCTGAAAGTTGTGCCAGTCATCTTGACTGACTGACTGACTGAGTTTGGTTTTACACCGCTTTTAGCAATATTCCAGCAATATCACAGCGGGGGACACCAGAAATGGGCTTCACTCATTGTACCCATGTGGGGATTGAACCGGGTCTTCAATCCTACCCAGCGTGATGAGGTCTTCGTCGTGACGAGCCAGTGCTTTAACCACTAGGCTACCCCACCGCCCCCAGTCATCTTGAGTGAACCTAGTGGAAAGACTCTTGACACCTCTGCAGTATTGGATGATGGATCGATGAGGAAAATGATCATGATGCCCGCTGTCAGACAACTTGATCTTAACACTGAACCACATGACATTCTACTGACTACGATCCGAAGTGAGCCATTCAACTGTGTTGGACATTCTGTAAACCTTACTATCTCACCTCGAGACGATCCTCGCCGCAAGTACTCAATTCGCAAAGCGTTTGCCTCTGATCAGCTAGCACTGTCAGAGTATTCCTACCCAGTCAAATCCCTCCAGAGGGAATATGCTCATCAGCAAGATGCTGTTCTGCATGACATTCATGATTCTGATCGGTTCTGACCATGCAGAGTTGATATTACCACAAACTCTCATCTGTTTTGGCCTGTCATATGCACCAGTGGCTGTCTGTACTAAGCTTGGATGGACCCTCCAACGATTGGCCAAAGACATTACCTCAGCAAACCGTGACTGCTGTCTCCTGACTTCGGTTCCGAACCCCTCTACTCAACTTATGAATGATGTTGTGAAACTGTGGAAAGCTGAGGTGATTCCCCTCACATCCAAAGCTGTGACCCGATCCAAGCTGGACAATTTTGCAGTGAAGATCTTGGAATCAAAGACTGAGAAGGTCAGTTGGTGTGTTTAACTTATTTACTTTGGCGTTGGTTTGAGTCATTTACGATTATTTGTTTTTGAGTTAGTGTGCAATTCATTGGGGAGATTTTGACTCAGACGGACTGTACCACAAAATGGGAAACCATTGAACGTAAATTGTGTCCTGTGTTAGATGAGGGTTTTCTTTCACTCAATTCAAAATTTCTGGTGGCAAAGAAAAGAAAGATTGTACAATGTCAATGTCACTACAGTGTTTATGTATCTTTGTGTGTTATTAGCTCACGTTACCAGACTCAACTTACAGGTAGATTCTTACCATGGTTACGGTATAATGGAAGTTGTTATTTTTACCTACAACCAACAATAGCCAATACTGCTGCTTTGACTCACCGATTGCATTGTACAGTGGTTCTCCAGTTGTCTTGTCCCATACAATGGTTGTCTCCCTTTGATTGGTGATTCCAATACCTGAAATATGTATCGGTGTATCACTCTGGTGTAAATAATCTCACAACTGTTGACTGTTATGTAGACATGTGACTGACAATGTTTTATGCCAAATGTCTCACCTTGAACCTTAGAGACTTTGGCAGCTGAAACTGATTTACAGTAGATGGTAGTGCCTGTGACAACCAATCCATGACATCATGTCAGAGAGACACACACGGACATCCGAGTACTGAGCACCTACATGATATACCGAGAGGTTCGGGTTTTGTCCCCTGCATCCTCTGCTTGTTGAGCATAGTTACCACGTGTCAGGAGGTCACCACGGTGATATGGTTGACTTCATGTACACAGCCAGGACAGTGATGAGGCATTTCTAACAATGTCAATCACAGATTTCTTTGGTCGGGTCAGCTAGTCACAGGTGTGTATTATTAAAGAAAAACAAAAAAAAACTCACCTCAGACAGAAGATGCTGGATCTCATTTCAAACCAACAGATGTCTAAAATGCGACTCAAACTTAAAGGTGGAGCCTAGTTCATAATTCGATGGATTTTGTGGGAGACTGGCATGTGATACACGACTCAAATTTGAGGTCGACAACTGTGACATCCGTAATGTCTACATATGACTTACATTTGATGTCCGAGACTGGGATGTCGAGGACGCTTCAGGTTGTCGATGGCAGTGGTCATACAGATCCGCACGGACTCCAGGATCTCCAGAGGATCTTCCTCAACCCATCTGGAAAGAAAATACATGATTATCTTGGAAACAAAACAAAACAACATTGGTTGCCATGACATACAAACATCTGCTTACCCTTCGCGAGGCAGGTGTTGTTGGATCTCAGTCTGGTGGTAGGTGACGAGCTCAGCTGTCTTACTGGAGAAAATCTGCAAGTGGAAAATTGTGAATGCATTGATCAAGATCTGCACACAATACGTGATCAGAGGCAGAAACTCACAAATTTCAGCTTCAGCACTCTGGAGGTGAACACACTTAGTATGAAAAGAAATGCACTTAGAAACATTTCTGAGAGACATTTCGAGCAAAGGTCAATCAAGGTCAAAGTTTAAGTTCCATGGAAATACAGATCATGTAAGTCCCTCTATGCGTATGTCAAATTTCGAGATAGCTTCTGCAATGAACATTGGATAAAAAAAATTCGAAAATGTTTGGTGTTGCATAGTGTCAACAAGAATGCAAAGTTTCTCTTTGTAAGGTGCAGTGGTTTTTTTAATATATTTACAAACAAGTACAAAGCCTGAATAGAGTAAAATTATTTTTGGCCTTGTAAGATCAGGTAACAAATACCACATGATACCACCAAATATTCATAAAAAATGCTGATGAAAACCAAATTTGATTCAGCAGACCTAAATGTCCTTGGTCCAGACTACATCAACTTATCTGCCTTCACGGAAAGTGAGCTACACATGCACCACATACAGGACCTCCCACTGATGTCAGCTACAGGACTATAAGTATAACGCAAGTCTACTATTCTAGGTGTCCCCCTCATGTTGACAGCAATGATCCACCTGGCCATGTACGAAGCCATTTCATGTCCCACATACTCCTTGTTGTTTACCACTTACAGTTACCATGGTTACGTTTATTTGTTGTTGCAATATTCCAGCTGTGTTAAGACAATAATGGAGCAGACAATAAAGTGATCATTATTGAGACACTATCATCCACTTGGTCACCGCGTACAACCAACATAGGTTGCAGGGCTCCACATCAGGCCAGGTATGGTAAGGTAACTTGTTCATATGAAACTGCAATATTAGTCCCAATGTATTGAATATTGCACACTATAGGACCTAATGTCAATGTTGCAGTTATGGCTACGCTTGATCTACTAACACTTGTGTAAAGTTTTAAAATATGGTGTGATACTCTAAATGTGTCAATTTCTTTTGTAACTTTTATTCAAACAATCACAAACTTTCAAAGATTAAATACGTATACCCTATATCTACGTATGATATGATATTGAACAAGGCTTAATGTAGGTACTGAAATTGGTTTCATGAAAAAAAATATCTGAATGATACGCAAAATATACATCATAGAACTGAAAGTGTAATCAGAAGGATAGGGTGATTGTGTAAACTTACTCTTTTTCAACCGACCTTCACCTCATAGAAATTGCCTAATATGTACAATGCCATATATATCACAACCGATGACTGATTTCTTACAAAATGGCGGCTTCGCTGACAAGGGTACACAGGATTTTGCGAGGACACTTCCCTTGATTCAGGGATCGTTTGTACATAAATATGAGATGTCTGACTGTAAATATGAGATGTAAGTAATCAGAGTGACTCTGTGTATTGTTATATGTTCTCATCGTTTTCATTGTATGTTGGAGAAGATGCCAGTAATGCTGATAATTACCGTTGTCGTTCTGCGTGATTTTGCATCTGTTATGGCGCCACGCTGCACGGAAACTTTTCTTATGAAGTATCAAAACATTGCATTGTATCTAGTTTTAATTTCCTCTTTCTTGCTATGGTACTCTTTCTATGCATATTCTAAAGGTATTGAGCCATTGCAAGCAATGAATAGCTGGCTGGATGTCGAAGAATTTTAAAAAATGCTACGCAGTGTAAAATCCGAATTTTCTTTGTTTACATTTCAAACTAGCGCAGTCTTCCGAGCACAACATTCGTTTTCACACCCAATATCTTTTGTTTCATTTTATCTAGACAGTTGGTATTGGTGACAAAGACCAGTTGTAATTTGATTTAAAAATGTATGGGGAATTCAGTGATGCATTTGTTGCAGCTGACTATTAAATATACGTGATGTATCAAAGGTGTCTCAATACCGGCCTTCGCGAGACGTGATTTTGTAAACACTATCCAATATGGCGGAAAGCGCACTTCGGTATATTTTCGAAAACATCCCCACCAATTCAAGGTTCATTGGCAGCGTTTCAGATTTATCATTAGTGATATCATGAAAAACTGATTTCAATGATCATTAATATGATATTTTTGAAATTCAATACACCCAGTAATTATCCGATTTTCACATTTGAAAACATACTGTACAGCAAATAACGCTGTGAATCGCGATTTCGTATTGTGTCAAACATGGCGACATTTACGATGAAGCCTATTTTGAAAGGTTATTATAAGCACTTTAGCTTTGTCTGAGATAATAGTGGATGGTATCAAGAAACAGGGAAATTCACGCAGAATACAAAACTGTGAAGTATATTTGTGTACGTGATATATTTAGAATTTTATTGGACTTCAAAGTGAGGGTTGAAGAGGAAGGACATGCAGACCTGCGCAAAAAGTATTCGGACACATGACTTAATTTCCATCGACTTACATGTTATTTAAGTGTAGCATAAATAATTTTCATGAAGTGAATTTAAGACAGATCTTTGTTAAGTTTGACAGGCAAATTTGAAATCATCTCTGCTCTACGCACATAATTTCAGTTCAATTTTCCACCCACTATATAACTAATGACATCACATTTATCAACTTATGTATGGTTCCACAATGCCCAATCCCGTAGGCCGCAATGTTTAAAGCGTTCATGGCACTGTACACTTGTTGATTAAATTGTTACCATTCGATGAATAAGCAACGGAAAATTAAACAGAAATTATGCAATTGTAGGTAAGATGATTCTTCGCAAATGTGCAAAATTTGACTTGGATCTTACTAAAATTAAATTCATGAAAATTCTTTATGCTACACTAATTGACTAAATTCACATGTTAGTCTATGGAAATTACGTCAAGTGTCCGAATACTTTTTGCACGAGTCTTTTTGTATATCCCTGTGGCACTCAGGTGGTTTTAATCAAGTCCAGAGACTCGACCAGAGCACTAGTGGTGTCGCGGATTATTCTGGACACACTAGCTCTGGAAACTGCGTGGGAGATCCCCGATTTCACTGAGGAAAGCCCTTTTGCCAAATACCTCAGTGTACACAACACTTGCAGGGAGGTCGGAATAGCATGTGAACGCCTTGTAGGTTTGTTCAGTTGGGGCTCTAACTTTCTGCACAGTTAGAAAACAACCATGCCTAGGAAATCTATACCTCGACATCATGTCAGCATCATCCAGAGTGTCTAGCACGTTCGACCTGTCGCAAAATTTCTCAGGTCTTCTTTGTTAGTGCGTTTTAATCACTTGCAGTGCCATAATCGTTGACGCCATCTTTCTAGTGTTTACGACCTCCTAAAGCATTTACGACAGGTCAATCAGGGTCCTAAATTTTGGGCTGTTTACGGCACGGTGTAAATATACGAGGTCTTTGTTAAACAGGGTAAAAAAGTAAAAGGTGGTCTACGACCTGCTTTACGAGGTCTTACCGGTAAGAGGGCTTTGTGAAACGGGCCCCAGGACCCTGAATGAATGCTGAAACATTAGTCTTCCTACATACTGACAGTACAGCTATACCAGTATAACCCTACTCTCACTGATGAATTGAAACATTAGTCTCCCTACATACTGACAGTACAGCTATACCAGTATATCCCTACTCTCACTGATGAATTGAAACATTAGTCTTCCTACATACTGACAGTACAGCTATACCAGTATAACCCTACTCTCACTGATGAATTGAAACACTAGTCTTCCTGAAACATTACTGACAGTACAGCTATACCAGCATAACCCTACTCTCACTGATGAATTGAAACATTAGTCTCCCTACATACTGACAGTACAGCTATACCAGTATATCCCTACTCTCACTGATGAATTGAAACATTAGTCTTCCTACATACTGACAGTACAGCTATACCAGTATAACCCTACTCTCACTGATGAATTGAAACATTAGTCTTCCTACATACTGACAGTACAGCTATACCAGTATAACCCTACTCTCACTGATGAATTGAAACATTAGTCTTCCTACATACTGACAGTTCAGCTATACCAGTATATCCCTACTCTCACTGATGAATTGAAACATTAGTCTCCCTACATACTGACAGTACAGCTATACCAGTATAACCCTACTCTCACTGATGAATTGAAACATTAGTCTTCCTACATACTGACAGTACAGCTATACCAGTATAACCCTACTCTCACTGATGAATTGAAACATTAGTCTCCCTACATACTGACAGTACAGCTATACCAGTATAACCCTACTCTCACTGATGAATTGAAACATTAGTCTTCCTACATACTGACAGTACAGCTATACCAGTATAACCCTACTCTCACTGATGAATTGAAACATTAGTCTCCCTACATACTGACAGTACAGCTATACCAGTATAACCCTACTCTCACTAATGAATTGAAACATTAGTCTTCCTACATACTGACAGTACAGCTATACCAGTATAACCCTACTCTCACTGATGAATTGAAACATTAGTCTTCCTACATACTGACAGTACAGCTATACCAGTATAACCCTACTCTCACTGATGAATTGAAACATTAGTCTTCCTACATACTGACAGTACAGCTATACCAGTATAACCCTACTCTCACTGATGAATTGAAACATTAGTCTCCCTACATACTGACAGTACAGCTATACCAGTATATCCCTACTCTCACTGATGAATTGAAACATTAGTCTTCCTACATACTGACAGTACAGCTATACCAGTATAACCCTACTCTCACTGATGAATTGAAACATTAGTCTCCCTACATACTGACAGTACAGCTATACCAGTATAACCCTACTCTCACTGATGAAATTGAAACATTAGTCTCCTACATACTGACAGTACAGCTATACCAGTATAACCCTACTCTCACTGATGAATTGAAACATTAGTCTCCTACATACTGACAGTACAGCTATACCAGTATATCCCTACTCTCACTGATGAATTGAAACATTAGTCTCCTACATACTGACAGTACAGCTATACCAGTATAACCCTACTCTCACTGATGAATTGAAACATTGGTCTCCTACATACTGACAGTACAGCTATACCAGTATAACCCTACTCTCACTGATGAATTGAAACATTAGTCTCCTACATACTGACAGTACAGCTATACCAGTATAACCCTACTCTCACTGATGAATTGAAACATTAGTCTCCCTACATGCACTGACAGTACAGCTATACCCAGTATAACCCTACTCTCACTGATGAATTGAAACATTAGTCTCCCTACATACTGACGGTACAGCTATACCAGTATAACCCTACTCTCACTAATGAATTGAAACATTAGTCTCCTACATACTGACGGTACAGCTATGCCAGTATAACCCTACTCTCACTGATGAATTGAAACATTAGTCTTCCTACATACTGACAGTACAGCTATGCCAGTATAACCCTACTCTCACTGATGAATTGAAACATTAGTCTCCTACATACTGACAGTACAGCTATACCAGTATATCCCTACTCTCACTGATGAATTGAAACATTGGTCTCCCCTACATACTGACGGTACAGCTATACCAGTATAACCCTACTCTCACTGATGAATTGAAACATTAGTCTTCCTACATACTGACAGTACAGCTATACCAGTATAACCCTACTCTCACTGATGAATTGAAACATTAGTCTCCTACATACTGACAGTACAGCTATGCCAGTATAACCCTACTCTCACTGATGAATTGAAACATTGGTCTTCCTACATACTGACGGTACAGCTATACCAGTATAACCCTACTCTCACTGATGGATTGAGCATTGGTCTCCTACATACTGACGGTACAGCTATACCAGTATATCCCTACTCTCACTGATGGATTGAACATTGGTCTCCTACACACTGACAGTACAGCTATACCAGTATAACCCTACTCTCACTAATGAATTGAAACATTGGTCTCCCTACATACTGACAGTACGGCTATACCAGTATAGCCCTACTCTCACTAATGAATTGAACATTGGTCTTCCTACATACTGACGGTACAGCTATACCGGTATAACCCTACTCTCACTAATGGATTGAACATTGGTCTTCCTACATACTGACGGTACAGCTATACCAGTATAACCCTACTCTCACTGATGAATTGAAACATTGGTCTCCCTACATACTGACAGTACAGCTATACCAGTATATCCCTACTCTCACTGATGAATTGAAACATTAGTCTTCCTACATACTGACGGTACAGCTATACCAGTATAACCCTACTCTCACTGATGAATTGAAACATTAGTCTTCCTACATACTGACAGTACAGCTATACCAGTATAACCCTACTCTCACTGATGAATTGAAACATTGGTCTTCCTACATACTGACGGTACAGCTATACCAGTATAGCCCTACTCACTGATGGATTGAACATTAGTCTTCCTACATACTGACGGTACAGCTATACCAGTATAACCCTACTCTCACTAATGAATTGAAACATTGGTCTTCCTACATACTGACGGTACAGCTATACCAGTATAACCCTACTCTCACTGATGAATTGAGCATTAGTCTTCCTACATACTGACGGTACAGCTATACCAGTATAACCCTACTCTCACTGATGAATTGAAACATTGGTCTCCTACATGCTGACAGTACAGCTATACCAGTATAACCCTACTCTCACTGATGAATTGAAACACTAGTCTTCCTACATACTGACAGTACAGCTATACCGGTATATCCCTACTCTCACTGATGAATTGAACATTAGTCTTCCCTACATACTGACAGTACAGCTATACCAGTATAACCCTACTCTCACTGATGAATTGAAACACTAGTCTCCTACATACTGACAGTACAGCTATACCAGTATATCCCTACTCTCACTGATGAATTGAAACATTAGTCTTCCTACATACTGACGGTACAGCTATACCAGTATAACCCTACTCTCACTGATGAATTGAAACATTAGTCTCCCTACATACTGACAGAACACTGGCTATACCAGTATATCCCTACTCTCACTGATGGATTGAAACATTAGTCTCCTACATACTGACGGTACAGCTATACCAGTATAACCCTACTCTCACTAATGAATTGAAACATTAGTCTCCCTACATACTGACAGTACAGCTATACCAGTATAACCCTACTCTCACTGATGAATTGAAACATTAGTCTTCCTACATACTGACAGTACAGCTATACCAGTATAACCCTACTCTCACTGATGAATTGAAACATTAGTCTCCTACATACTGACGGTACAGCTATACCAGTATAACCCTACTCTCACTGATGAATTGAAACATTAGTCTCCCTACATACTGACAGTACAGCTATACCAGTATAACCCTACTCTCACTGATGAATTGAAACATTAGTCTTCCCTACATACTGACAGTACAGCTATACCAGTATAACCCTACTCTCACTGATGAATTGGAAACATTAGTCTTCCTACATACTGACGGTACAGCTATACCAGTATATCCCTACTCTCACTGATGAATTGAAACATTAGTCTCCCTACATACTGACAGTACAGCTATACCAGTATAACCCTACTCTCACTGATGAATTGAACATTGGTCTCCTACATACTGACAGTACAGCTATACCAGTATAACCCTACTCTCACTGATGAATTGAAACATTAGTCTCCTACATACTGACAGTACAGCTATACCAGTATAACCCTACTCTCACTAATGAATTGAAACATTAGTCTCCTTACATACTGATGGTACGGCTATACCAGTATAACCCTACTCTCACTGATGAATTGAAACATTGGTCTTCCTACATACTGACAGTACAGCTATACCAGTATAACCCTACTCTCACTGATGAAT